TGTTCTATTTCAAAATTATTTTGTTGATGAAAAAAAAAAAAATTCTAAAACCATTGATTTGGAAATGTGCAACTTGTCATTGTCAGCTGGAAATATAATTTGACCTACATAGTTACATTAATAAATATAAAAATTGGTTAAATCGTTTTGTATATTTTCTCCATGAGTGCAAATGGAAATTTTAAAACAAAGGGACGTAACTTGGTAAACTGAATCCGAACCGCAATACGGACTTTACCGAGAATATAACTGTAGCGCCACCTGTTAGCATAATTTGGGTGTCACATATTATTACACCAGATGTCGATTTGTATTATGCTTGCTGCATTCGGCTTTCGGCTATGCGCATTCTACCTTATGACATTCGTCATTCAAGCTGAGTAAATAGACCCAAATACAAACAGTTGCAGGTTATTTATTGAATTAATATACCAGATCAACAAATGAATAATAATTGATCGTTAAATAACGACATCAACATAAAATTAAGCAAGTCGCACACAGCAGAAAGCATAATGTGCATGTAAGAAAGCAACATGTAAAAGTCAGAATGCAAGATGTATATGTCAGAATGCATAATGTACAAGTTAGAAAGCACGATGTACAAGTTAGAAAGCACGATGTAACGTAAGAAAGCAAGATGTAATTTTGGCATAAATCACCCTCCATATAGAACGCATGCCTTAGTTTAGCTTGGTTCTCTCTGAACTTTGACCTAATAGGAAGTCTATCATTCAGTCTCTATTATGTTCATGTGGCAACACTTTTTCGTTTAATGCTCTCGTCAGAAGCATGTATTTACGTCCCCTGACACTTAACAATCTCTTTTGCGGAGACGAGCGCCTAGGCTTAACCGGACGACAAAATCATTCTTCAGTTTATCCTAGTTTTTAAACGTTTTATAAACTAATATCCACTTATTTCTGTACGTCATTACACAGTAACACTGTATGCTAACGTTTAACATGTGTTTTTTCTCAAACATTTTATATAAAATGTTTCTTAAATAATCTTTGATATTTATAAAATAATATTGAATTATAATTTTTCTTATTCATTTACTCTAGAAAACAATATTTCTTACAAGTTTTATCATTTTAATCATGAATGTGATTTGTATTATTCTAAGCAAGTACAAAAATGTAGGTGTATTTTTTTTCTATTGCAAGTACCTTACATATTGAAAGGCATTTTACTTGAGACACACTTGACTTGTTTTCCAATCCTGAAATATTTTAGTCTGATCGCCTATACTTTCTGTGTAAGAAAAAAATGTTAATACTAAGCGAGGTATTACACACGCGTAAAAAACCCTGCAAAGGAATTGTCAGTTTTGCAATGCATAACCTAACGGCACGGGTGATAAAGAACCTTGGCAAGTAATATTTCCACATAAATCATGTAACAGGGCCTTATTTTTTAAGATCATGTCTAAGGGACAAAACTCTTGCTTACTGTTGAATTTTATTATTTTGCAAAAGGGAGACAAATTCGCCGGTCTTGTCTGAAGTTTTTCAAGGGACATAACTCTATTTGTTTTAACTGATTTTATCTTATGTTAACATTGGGCAGTATTCTAAGAAATCAAATGATTGGTTCACGGATCGTTGATTTTAAGCTTCTTTTATGTCATGTGATTTCTTGGTGGGAAAAGGCATTGTGTCTTTGTTGTTGTAAAAATGAGTTGATTGACAATAAGTAATTGTGGTCAAGTTCTTTATTTCTTAAGTTGGTATGTATTTATCTTAACTGCTGCTAAATGCATTATTGTAACTATGGAAAATTCACCTGTCATCTTTATTCACTATTAATACTTAACCTTGCAATTAACAGGCACTATTGTGATAGTCAGAGAAGTTAGTTATTTTGATTGATGTACTAAATTCATCCCTCAGTGGGTAAGTTACATGTGATGTATTGTGTATTATTTAAAGTAAATATATGTAAAATGTGTGTATAATTCCACAAACTATGCATAGGACTTTAAAGGACTGTTGCTGAGTTAGAAGAACTGAATTGGTCACTAGACATGTAATTGATTTTGTTCTAGATGAGAACAAGATATTTAATATTAATTAATTAATGTAATGCATTGTACTGTTTGCGGATAGAGTTTTTAAAAAAAGCTTTACAAGCTTCCTACTCAATACGTAAATTCTATTTTATGTACTTTATTATGTAAATGTGTTGATTATAAATAAAATATTGTTTAAACTAATGCATTGTTTCTTCTTTATTTTACTTTGTATTTACATATTGTTATATACTTATTTTAGAGTGTTGTTTGTACCTTTACTTGAAGTAACAACCTTAATTAAAAGTGGATCGTATATAAACATATCATAACTTTAAAGCTGTTTGTAGAATTAATGTGACAACCCCGAACTTATTTGACCCTTAGGGGCTCGGATAGCTACATAAATTGCGCCGAAACCACCCCTATTACAATCACTCCAAAACCCAAATAACATATAATATATTTATATTGTGACCATAAATTGTGTGTATAATTTAAAACTGGCACATCTTCTTTGTCTTAAGTCAAAACATGTTTATTTCATATTTACAGAGAGACAGTGTAGCGATTATCAATATTGTCTTATATCAAATTTGAGCATAATATATATCTTTAACCATACTTTCCACGGCACATTATACACTGCGTTTAGATTTTATAACACATGATCATATTGAAAAATTACGAGACCACCATTAACGTCCATGATCCTGTAAGATTAGACATGTACAAGAAAATATTAAAAACCAAAAAGTACCCAATATTTCATATGATCATTGATGTGCTTAATTGAATGTTTATAATTTCTATATATGTTTGAGCATAAATGAATTATTTAATTTATCAAATATAATTGCCTACCGATTACGAAGATGATGGTGTAGGAATTTGAGTTAATTTACCGAAACACGACAGGTTCATTTAGGGACACATGTTCCATTTTGCAAGATTAATAAAGTCATATGCAAATTCACCAGTTTTACTTCGACTGATTATCTTTTTTAAAGATACTTATTTTTTATATTTTTGTTTTGTTCTTTCATTATCATTTATGTATATCAACGATTCCTTTTAAACAGCAAAATATGTTTAATTTTAATTATAAAACAATTTCAGTATTTATTGTCTAAATAATGCTATAACTCATAACAAATACCTGATATTATTAAAGTCTAATAAAAGTTAGCGGTAAAAGTATCTTATTTAACATTTCAACCAAGCAAACTTTGAAAACAGCCCATTATTTTGGTATATTTTAGGGATGTTTCGAATTAGGCTAAATAGGAAAATGGTCAAACAAGTATTTAGAATGGGTTGGATAATGTAACATGTTTATATATATTTCAAACTATTTGAATAGATTTTTAATCTTTCTTCTTGTATGTCTTGTTAGTTGAATTCTTCTTAACAATAATCATAAGGAAAACATTTTTCATAAGAATGATATAATAGATTATTTAGAATTTCCCTATTTCCAAAAAAGAGCATTTCTAATAAACATGCTGTAGGACAGAAAACTATCCATAACTCATAAACCTGAGGGGAAATTTTGTTTTAATGTTACTTACAAGTGTCATTTAAGGCGTATAACTGTCGATTTTTCTGATCATTATAATGTCAATTAGGGTGGCTATAACTTCATTATTTTCTTTCTTATCAAGTTATATGACAATCAGGATCTGTGTCGTCCATCTCTTCTACGGATCAACAAGCGTCCGAGAAGCATTTACCCGACGTACTATATCATATAGAAATCAGCTGGATTGGTGTTTCATTAAAAATACAAGTATCCAAAGGTATAAATGTAATTTATACCCTCGTGTAACCAATATATTTTTGTAAATGGTTATATAAAATATACAAATATTTTTGTTAAATAAGCATTAAACATGTCCAAGTGCACATTTTCTTATGCAACAGATATATTTTACGCATGAAGCTTATTACATATAAACAGTTTAATGTTTAAGCAATCTTTAAAAAAAAGAAACCGTAAAACCAGATCAATTTATACCAAATCATGGGAACATTCAGACTTGTACATAAATTATTTTGTGTCGACAATTTCAGTTGAATAACTGTTGCCGCAAAGATTATTATTACAAAAATTCATAACCTATATATTCAATATTTTCTGTCAAAGCGATATCAAAGCAATTATTGTCATGATTCAATAAAATGTATGTTTTTGTCTTAAGCGCATGAAGTAAGTAATTAATCAGTCCTTTAACAGTTATTTTGTATCAGTATACCGATGTCTTTAGTATAGTCTTATACAGGTATGGTCTTATAAAACGATTAGAATAGAGATTGAAAAAAAAACTAGATTTAAAAAAAATTATAAAAAAAACAACAACAACACTCAAATGAAAACCAAAAAAAATTGTAAAGTATTGACAGTACACTGAAATAGCAAACTACCATTTACAGAAATCTGCTATTATGTTTTTCTAAACTTTTTAATTTTTTAACTTTTTAAGTATAAATTGTACATACTTAAGTGAAAACATTTTGAATATTTGTTAAAATGAATAATTTAATTCGTTAAGCAGCAGTTCGGCAATCAAACACACTGGCTCCTCATAATGTAACTTTAATAAAAAAATACCAGTGCAATTATATTGCTATAATTGCATCAAAAATACACAATTTTACTTCTATTTCAATTTCATATCAGTCATGTAATTTGAAAAGCACTTTAAAAAGTCTTTTCAACATTTGTTGTTGATACTAATAACATAATCTTATTATTTGAATGACATATGTAATACAATAATTTATTTTAAATCATCCTGACCTTAAATATATGCACACGCACACATGAACGAATGGTGTGACACAAATGCGTACATATTCAATTAAATGATATATTCGAAGGAACATTGTTTAATTATATCTCTACCTTTAAAATATTGAGAAATATCAAAGCGTATACGTAAGTTCGGATGAAAAGCATAGAGATAATGAATGAATAGAAACATACCGACAAAATAATTGTAAAATGCCAAATGTATCAGGATAAAAACAATCCGTCTTTCTTCCATGGCTGTTTGCCTAGCTTTGGTGATTGAAATACAAGGTGAAAGCTAAAATAGCATGACTTAAGTTATTTTAAGAAGCGGAAGTTTTAAAATAGAGATGATGATGTGATGGCAATAGAAAACCAGCTGAAAATTATAAAAAAAAGAATTATTATTTTTATTATTTCTATTATTTTCATTAATATTATTGTTTGAAATGAAATTGACCGTTGCAGACTAAAATCTTTTAAATTGTTCATTTTGGATAACTAATTGTGCGATACATTTTATGAAAACGTTTAGCGCAAAAAAATATCCTATCATAAAACCTGTTAATTGGGCGGTTTATTGCATAGTCGCCAATGCTACAGTTGGACGATTGTAAAATTACAAACAACCGTTTATTATACCGCCTTTATGGCTTACAATATCACGTATTATGAACGTTGATGAAAATGCTGAATAAAGCTATAAAACATTATAGCTGTATGATACCAGATGAATCAAAAAATATTTCAAGAAACTCAAACTTGAGAACTTTTGAAAATGTACTAAGATTTTTAAAAAGTAAAATGATTCAAAATTCTAGTAATATTATAACATATTATTTGCAATAAATAACTGATTTTAGAGTTACTGTATTTCTACTTCGTGGCAAACGCAGTAAAGGCTGTCCTTGCACATTTTGACCTCTCTTTGGTTATTTACGTGGATAGTGAGTACTAATATTTGGAATTGTTAAAAGGCTGCCTAACGAACGCTGGGTTGTTTACTTATTCTTCGGGCTGATGGCTGTCATTGTTTTTCAAGTTTTCATACAGCAGTTATTGTTCGTAGGATACTTAAAAATGCCCAAATGTCATCAAGAGCAGTTTTGCATGTGGAAGGAATGTATTTTTCAGACTGTAAAAATGAAACAAAAACAAAAAATAAGAGACGATAGTTGGTTATAGGTAATTTAAATGATTAGAAGTAAGTTTTCTTCTATTTATTTCTTTTAACATTTTAAGTTATTTATCAATTTCAGCTTTGCTTTTCTCTGAACAGCCTGACATTGTCAAAATTGCCAGCAAAAAATAAAATTGAGGTACCACATGGGGAAAATCTTAAGAAAGTAGTTTCGTCATTGAAAAGTGTGAAATTATATTTTGATAATTTTCACTGTGAAATTATCAAATATAATTTTTACGGATAAATCAGTAATCCACTGAAAAGCATAAAATGAAATGTTATAAAAAACTTTTTACCACACTATTTACCATCTTTAAACTTATTGGTAAAAAAATAAAATTCCTTAAGACCTTTTAAAACGTTAATGTAGCTCGTTAATCAATAATAAAATATAAGTTTTTAATGCAGTATTTGTGTAGTTTAAAAGAGGCCTGTAGCTTGTATCTTTTGTCGACGTTAAGGATTTGTCTCATATAGGAGGTTCGGATGTTTTGGATTTCAAAAAAGAGGAAGAAAGTAAAGGTCCATTAATCCTAGTTTTTTATTAACCATGGTATCCAATGGGATTTTCTCTTCCTCGTTCTTACTGGTTATAATATTGTTAAAAAATTTGACTCATAAGGAACACCTGCAAGTGTAATTGTATCCACTGCAATTATTAATTCTTATATGGCTCAACTAGATTACTTGATTTATGAAACATGATTTCAGGCAATATAATTATTATTTTTTTAAGGCCTTTCTAATTCATTATACTAAATTTACAGTTTTATTACCTTTAAGATTTTGATTATGCCAGGACATTTGTATTGTTTATGTATTTACGTATAAGGAAATACGTTTTCTGAAATAACATGAAGGAAATATCATTAGACATGAATTATTTTGAAAAATGTTAAAGCCATTTTGTTAAGCCGAGCAGTCCCCGAATGTCAAGTTTCTTGGCAAGTAACTCAGCGATGACATTGGCCAACCTATGACAATTTAATGAAAATATATCATAAGATTACAGCACGGCACGTTCATAGCCTTATCCTGTTTCTCTTATTATAGCATAAAATCGGCTATTTTTCCCTCTTTTGCCCATGTTATAACGGGGCCAAAACCATGCGTTAACATAGTCACGCGCTCTTGTTATAGCCCGGTTTTACCTATGCGCAATACATGCAGGGCCCAGAAAACAAACAAAAAATGACGATTTGGCCTGTTTGCCAGAGTCATGCGCTCTTGTTATATTGGAATTATTAATTCGAGGGCCTCAGTCGCATATTCAAGTAATTATGCCGGCAATACGGCGTATAGACATCGCCGCTTATCTTGGTTGTCGCCCTTTCTTAGAAACGGACAGTTGTCAATGTAAACAAATAGAATCTGTCATTCAGTTTAATCCCCCGATTAACTTACAAAAATGGAAAGCACAAAATGAATATAAGAAAACGTTGTTTTATTGACGTTTATACTGATAAATGTTCATTATGTTTCTTTGAGAGAATAATGTTTTATGCCTGATTTTTTTAAAACTTGCGTGCTTAAAAAACCGATTCTGAAATTGAATCTGATATCACTGATCGTTTTCCTACCGCCAATTTGTAATCATTCTAGGAATTTCTGAGGCGCCTGTTTTGTCTTTGGTAGAGTAATGATATGTTTTTCTTAAGTTAATATATCTCCAAAGTTAAACTTTGTTAAATCAATTAAAATTCGAAATTTCGTTCGGTTCTCAAGTTGTTGGCCCCGGAAAAAATAAAACGCATACGTAAAACATGTAGAGTTGGATAAATACCGTCCAAGCACAAGGATTTAATGTTTGTGTTTTATATATAATATACATCATGAATCTGTTTTAAAATTTTATGCTATAATAGCGTCAACGCACGTTTATTTCGTGTTATAAAGTCTGCAGAGTCCCTTGGAACTGTTGGAGCCCTCGCCCTACCGGGCTCGGGCACCAACCGTTCCTCGGGACTCTGCAGACGTTATAACACGGAAAAACGTGCGTTAACCCTATATAACGAACAACATAAAAGACCATATAGCACTATACATGTAATAGCTTTTCCTTATGATTGACCTTTAGTACACTTATCTTCTTCAGTATACCAAAATAACGTAAAATTAATACCATAGATACCACTTTTATACATCTATAACAGGGCAAAACGGTTAATAAAGTTAAGCTGATGAATACGTTGGCACATGAGTTAAAAGGTCGTGCGCACAAAATATCATGATGTCCGCACGACATAATTAAGTTATGCGCACGAAATAGTAAGCCGTGCCGATGAGTAACTAAGTCGTGCGTACAAGATAGTTAAGACGTAAATTACTATGTTCTGCGAACGAATAACTAAGTCGTTCGAATAAGATAAACAACCAATTAGATAACACAATATATTTGAAAGGTATTTTGTAGATGCAAATATTTTTCACAAACCTATATATATAGGTTTGTGAAAAATATTTGCATCTACAAAATACCTTTCAAAAACACTGGATCCAAAGAAGGATACAAGAACGTGGAAAAAAACAATAAATTTGGAGAAAATAAACGTTCATACAGTGCTAAAGTATAAATACCCAAGTACTTTCGGCGTATTATGCCTTCATCAGGGGTGTATTACATGTATAATGTGCACACAATCGAGCACAAAATCTCAATACGTGTGTACTGTATAGTATCAAAAATTGAACTGAAACACAGTCGCTAGAAAGGTGATAAAATTACATCGATTATGAATAGACCGTTATATATGACGTTTCGTAGTAGAAATGTGACATAGGACAACGAAGTCCCCTTTTTTCACCTGCCTGTCACAGTGGCACATATGCACACTAATGCTTGATAAGTTTTACTGTGACATTGACCTTTTATCTTATGACGTCAAAGTCAGTAGTGGTCATGAGCAATATTCATAAACAATAGCTCATTTATAATCGAGTAATTGATTCGCTATGGATTTTACAGTACAGTATGTGTCTCTGCTGCCTTGACCTTTTAACTAATGCAATCGAAAACAAAACGTTTTCCTACTGGCCACTAAGGGACGAAGGAGTCGGTTAACTATTTTGTGCGCAATACTTAATTATCTTTGACGTCAAAACAAAAACAATGCTCGGAGCAAAGATTGCGTAGTTAAATAGTTACAACAGTTAAAAATATGCTAAATTCACCACATAGATATCCAAAATGTTTATCAACTTTCAGTCAAGCCCAAATAACTCTCGCACTTCTGTTGTGTTATTCATATATGACAAAAATAATACTTATTTAAAATAAATTCATGAAAGCGAAAAAAGTAAGTTTTACAAAACTATGAATTGTAATAGATATTTTTAGATGCTGGGATGGTCTCGCTCTAGTCAGGCCAAAGTATCAACATACTTCCTTATGTCAAATCTTTATTCATTATAAGCAAGGTAAAACTTATTGCAGATGTTTTAGAGAAAAGAAAAAAAACTAAAAAAGGCCATCCTACCTTGGCACCTGAGATAGATATATATTAACATAAAAATGCATATCATCATTGTAATGACAGTTTAATTCTTTCCTATTCACAGCTGTAGACTGTATTGTATTTCTATGAATTCGTTATGTGTAATTAGATGTAAAATCTATGTTGCCTTTTATATACTGTCAGAATATTTCTATTACAGCAAGGTTTGGTACAAAGGAGTATCTATATCAGTTCATGTAGGAAGTCAGGTTTAAATTTAGATCAGATAAATGGGCAATTCTAATTTTCTTAATTCTTTTTTTTTAAATATAATTTAACAATGCATCATCTCGTGCAACGTACTTTAAATTAAAGTCTGCTATTTTGGTTATCTTTGTGTTTACGCGGGAATTCCTATTTATGTAAATGATTATCAGACACGTAACTTTGTTACACGATAAGCGTAATATGAAAATATCATTTGAGGAAAAGCATGACATTCATGGCTGAATAGTTATGTGCATAATAGAAGATCTTAAAATAACAATTCATAACAGAAATTACGTCAATTTAGCGTGAAACCATTTCCCCCCAAAATCTTCTTTCTGCGCATGTGGCGTATCATATGATCTCTGTCATGTAACTTGACTATTGCACTAAAAGTATCTTAACTATTAGCTGTCGTGACCAAAACTTCCTTTATTGAAATTAGTTAATAAATCCCATGTGTAACATTTGTAATAAAACATGAGAAAGGTATTACAGTTTAAACATATTTTATCACGCTATATACCAATAATTATGGTAATAAATGGGCCGAGAGCTTTATTAGCACATGAAAGGGATCTCTCAATTTACAATAAAAAGGCTGCTTGATAATATATGTTCATAAAGAAAGACACGAACAAGATTTTATATCACTTTTAAACATGTAAAAACTACTTGCCGAAATACTTTAACAGTTGGAAATTTACCATATATCTTTTAAATTGGTTATAACATAACTATATTGTATTTATCTGTGTTTAATATTAAGGGGTGAAAATGTTTAAACGACCGAATAACTTAGTCGGTAGAATCGCGAAACGGTACTCCGATGGTCCCGGGTTCAATACTCGATCAGGCTGCACAATTCCCTCATCCTGTGAAATTTCTTTTGTCTAAAGTCTGCGGCATATTTTGTGGGATTATGTTGTCTTTCGTGTCGAGTTTGAATGCCTAAATTGTCAAACAATGAATAATTACAGTGGTTACAGAACATTCCATAGAATTATTCTCATATGTGTCGGATGAAAAACCTTATCATTACTAGTGTACATGTACTTAAATATAATATATCCTATATGTAATACGAGTAATAAAATTCGAAAAAATGTTAATGGAAGAGTATAAAACTTGTGCAACTTTTCAAAATTAGTTTTAGAAAAAATGGAATATTAGCAATATATATCTCTGAAGAAATATGTTTTATACCAATTTGATCTATATGTTTCGCAGCTATGATTTGATATAACAAGATTTGTTATTTTGTCTTTAAATAAATAAGAAACCAGTTTTGCTATTTTATCTTATTATTTGTAAAGCAATTTTTTTTCGTATATAATTTATTCTATAATGACAATACAGAATATTCTTTGCACAAAACAAGTAAAACATATTTGATATAACATTTTGAACATCTAGAATCTCTTTCATTATCTGGTTTTATATACATACAATGGTTAAGTAATGAAGTAAACAAATTTGGAGAATGTTATTTAATGTTTGATGTAAAGATGCCATGAGAATCACGAGTAAGAAAGAAAAAAGTAAGGCATTCCGTTTTTCTCTATCTAGATACACTTATAAAAGATAGCACTTTCTAATGCAATTTACATAGATTATAAATATCAAAAGAAAAATACACAGATAGTTAACCGCGTTTTATACAATGTTCTGAACGAGGCCGTTTGTTTTCTTCGTTAGATATTATATTCAAACATCTTTTAAATAAATTTAGTTTGTAAAATATTTTGAATTCACAATGGCATTATATTAACACATACTTTTAGACTTGCGTAAGTTGTGTTCATTGAACGCCGCCTTTACTTGTTGATCTTGTTTATCATATTTCCTCGCTCATATCAGCCACTTTCATGTAACCATAAATGAATCTATTGATCTTTTGAAATAATATTTTATTACAAGTGTTCTTAAGTCGTAAAGTATGAAATTGATAAAATGTAATCAAATCATTAATTATAGTCCAATATGTAATCAAAATACTCTTTTTGAAAACACAAATTTATATTAGTAATCAAAGCACAAAACGTATTGGAATAAATCATCTTTAGCTATTGTTTATGTGTCTACGCTAACTTGCTGCATTTATTGCAATAACAGTATTTCACTGTTACCTTTTGCACTTATGGTAGTGTATCATAATGTCCATTTTCGTCATAAGGATTTTGTTCGGTTTGGGTAAAGTCATGATTAGCACAGAAGATATTGTTTTGAAATGTACTGTATCCTATTTCCCCTTCACCTTCTGCTGAAGGCCACATATTGTCGAAACAAACGTTTCCGTAATCAGTCTCGCCTTTATTCTCTTTCTTTGTCTTGGCGTCCAGAGGTTTCAAAGTTTCATAAATATTTGTTTCGTTTGTTGCATCAGTTACACTTGGCATTCTATAAAAAAAATAACCTTTTGAATTATTTCTACACAAACAAATCACTTCTAAGACACAGTTGATCCAGGAATTTATTGAAATTTATCTCAAACCACAGATTCGGAGATTTTGTAAGACAAAAGTCATTCATTTGAGAAAGGAAGGTCGGTTAGGTGGACTGACCATTGAAATATGACCGAAAGATGTGTTACAATCCGCCTAAAAAATAGCCGAAGAATAATTTGACATTTGACCTGGTTTATAACGTTCAAAAGTAAAATGTTACATACCTTCTTCGCCAAAATATAAAAATCAGCAAACCACAGATAACTGCGGCCATTAGACCAATCACTGACATCGCAATGGTTAGCAGGTTTTGATGGTCATCAGACTCTGCAACAAAGCCGACGATTAATTCTATCTGATGTAATTCTACATGTATTACTATTACTATGCATATTTACTACGAAACATTTTCGTTATTCATTATAAATAATATAACAATTAGCCGTTCAGTGTTGAAAATTCAAAAGAAGTAAAAAAATGCGTATTTCAATGCAACAGTTTAAAAAGAAAATAGGTTAAACTACCTATTCAATTTTCTTTAGAAAGTAACGATAGAGAAAATCTAACAAACAATATTTTACACATCTAAAAAACATACGTTCCTGTGGTGTTGTTGTGCTTGAAGTATCTCTATTGGTTGACATGTCTTTGACCCATGTAGAACTTCTTGGAGTTCTTTCTGACGTAGTTGTGGTGATTGGATATGTCAGGGACGATAAATCTCTATTGGTTGGTGTGGACATGACACCAACAAAACTATTTGTCGTTCTTTCTAGTTCAGATTTGGCGCTAGAATATTTCGGTGAAGAAGTATCTCCATAAGTTGGCGGAAACTTGACACCAGCAGAACTTTGTGTTGCACTTTCTAGTGCAGTTTCTGTACTTGGATATTTCTGTGAAGATGTGTCGCCATAAGTTTGCGGAAACTTGACACCGGCAGAACTTTGTGTTGCACTTTCTAGTGCAGTTTCTGTACTTGGATATTTCTGTGAAGATGTGTCGCCATAAGATAACGTGTCCTTGACAGAACTTTGTGTAGTATTTTCTAGTGAAGTTGTTGTCCATGGATATTTCAGTGAAGATGTATCGCCATAAGATAACGTGTTATTGACATCAGTAGAACTTTGTGTAGTACTTTCATGTTCGGTAGTTGTATTTGTAACAACCGTGACTGTATTTTGAGGCTTTGTTGTAGATACGGGTCTTACATCCACCGTACTCGATGTATTAGGTGCACTAGATAGTCTTGAATGATTACCTGCAATATAATATATAACAATGTAAGTGTGTTTAAATATGTCATATTAAACTTTTTTTATTGTTCTAAATATAGGAAATTTTGTTTGTTTGTTTGTTTCATTTTACGCCTTTTTCAACAGTATTTCAGTCATATAGGCGGGTAGTTTCCTAACCATCGTTCCTGGAGAGTTACACCAGTACTAGACTACCTTCCTCCGCGCTAAACTACCAAAGCATCTCCCGGGGATCATCGACTCTAACCCCTCGACCACGGAGGCGGTCAAATATAGGAAATAAATATCCCTAAAGATAGTTCAAAACGGCATAATTGACAAAATTGTTGCAGACTCGGTTTGATTGAGCCTGTTCATGGACGGTATTGTTAAGTACAAACTACCTACACTTAGCACCGGCTTGAGCTGAATTATACATTAAAACAAGAGATGGTAAAGTTTTGAATTAAGAAACATCCGCAGATCTGTACATATGGCAATTTCCATGGAACCTTCAATGTGACACGTTAGTGCCTTTTCATGAAAAGCGGCGTATTTTCCCTAAGTAATAGAAAGGGTGTACCCTAAACGAGAAAACAATGGGCGAAACTAAACAAAAAAAACAACATTTGTTTCTTAGAAAAGGCTCAAAACCTTCAGTGTTTTAAATTGAGGCATTTCCGGTGTTCTTTTGGCTTTTTACCGTATTTGATCAAATTGCTAAAATAAAATGAACTAGCTTTGATAATTGTGATTTGATTGCAAGTTAAATTGCTTTATCAGTACATAAATAGATACAAATATGTTCTTTTCCTTTTTTGATTTAAGTATAATTATCATAGCAAGGTTTTTAAGTGTGATAGTGTGTATTTTGTTTTTAGTTCTTTAAAAAGCAATGAAGCTACTTTACTGAAACAGAATGCACTATACGACTTTGTCGGGGGCAGGTAGTACTGTATTTCATCTCCACATTTCCTTATCTTCACTTGATGCTGTATATCACATGGAAACAAATAATCACGTTTGCAGGCCACGACGTCTACAGGTGTTTCAGTTAATGTATCAATAAGTGGATGTGTATCTACAGAGGTCAGAAAATATATCATTATGATACTTATTAACATTCCTTCAAAACAAATCACTCTACCGAAAATTAAAAAATTACCAACGTACTGCTGGACTATTAAATGAATTTTACAACAAATTCAATGTAATTAAAAGTATTAAAATGAAACATTTTTAATTTCAAATGATCACAACAAAAGCAAACTGAGCCAGTTAATATTCATGACAAAAAGGTATAATTAAAGGTGTCAAGTTAAACCTTTCAAGTAAACTGGAAAGTATGTAGAACAGCTTGTATAATTAGGTTTATTGGTCGAATCAACCATGATAAATTGCCATCCATTATGTACCACTCTGTACCACTCATAGTTCAGATTGTCATCACTGATACTAAGACTTCCCTGTCCGCCCCAAAACCTGTTTACTTGACGGAGAGGCATGCTGGATAGTGCTGTAACATTTTCAGGACAAGTTCCCTCTATAGCAGATTATAACAATAGATAAAAATATAAGTATTGATTAAAAGATATTTGTATTTGGTTTTAGTCTTACCTTTAAATCAAACGTCCAAACACATGACCAAGTTTCTTTTTAAAAGTACGTGTCTTTACACTCGCCCAAAGTTTAAACAAAAACAACACAGGCTCTAGTTATTAATAAACTTATTCAATTTACTCAAAGCCTTTAAAAATATTGAGTTTTAAAAATCCTTTCTTCTTTAGAAGAATTAACACAAAGTACGATTCCATCATTAGTGTCACTTGTGGAGGTTCAAAAGAGTGAAAGAAAGAAAAACAAGTACATGAAGTAAAGGTAATCTGTCTGACTCTGTTAAATCAATAAATGCCAGTGTGCTTGCATTTTATCTAATAACCGTCCAGATGAACATTCACACTTATATAATTCCAATATAATTAATAATTTTATCATTAGACACTCTATAAGATGATTAAACATGTATCTTTCTTTGTTTTTTTAAAGGACAAACACAAAGGGAGCTCAGTTGACAATGTATTATTGGTCGATTTTTCCAAGAAAAAAGGAACGTCGAGTTCTTGAAATTAAAATGAAAAGAAGATCAACTTTATCCTCTAACTCAATGAACATATATGGAACAAAGAGTTCACTTAAATACTCTGTCACATAATTATTAACAATTTTAACATTCCCCGGCCTTTACGAGCTAAAGCTGTGTGTCAATAATTACTGATTATTACAATAACATATATGAATGTGTTTCCTTATCTAACAGAGGTTGTTTGTGTATTTTCGATTATCAAAATATTCATTTCAATTATCATTCATTTATAAAAGTCATTCTTTGCATAAAGTGTAAAAGGTACTCATTACACCTTTTAAAGTGAGACACAGGCAAAATGTTTTATTTTTTTCGTTTTGAATTTTCATTTATTATTCTGTAAATGTCCTCAAAATGAATACACTAGGCAGTGACAGGAACAAAAAAATTCACCTTATTAAGAATAAAATGGTGGCTTTAGTTATTAGTTAACGTTGGTCAAGTTAGAGTGTTAAGATTTCACAATAGTGTCACAGTGAACTCTAGAGACGTTAACAAACATGACAAATGAATGGCATAGTCTTGTTTTAAATGTACAATATTCTCAATATCTGTTATTGAAACTTCTAGGTATCGTTTAAGTCACATGACTGGTTGTAAAACTACTCGTTGATTCTGTCGGCATCTAGATTTTGTTCAACATATGTATAGAATTTATACAGGAACTTTCAAAATTGTCATTTTAGCGTGATTTGAGTACAAAAGATCATTTAAATATTTTTGTCTTTAATTTGCCTTAAATCTACTTTTGTTTTTTCATTTACAATAGAAAATAAATAAATTGTATTATTGATCAGCAGAATTCATAAATGAATTATTTGTCACAACAAAGGTAACTCTCTGATAAAAGGCTTTTATGTACATACAAATGCTTCTTCTTAACATTTCTTTTTTTAAATGTTATCATTTTATAAGTTATCCTCAGTTTTAAGAAGCTGTTGTTATTCAATTTTCATTTTGGCATTTTTCTGTTATATATGTATTTCATTTTAAGGTAATATAACATTTAATTTATTACACAGTAATTTTATCTTGTTTTCACCCCCCTCCACCGCTTGGTATCTTACGGTTGTCCTGTGTGTCTTGGTAAAGTCGAAGCTTGTACTCTGTGTACGCCTAATTACCTTGGTCATCGTTATTTAAATTTTTATTGCAAGTCAAGTTAAGCGTCGACAGAACACTTAAAAGTTAAAATACAAATAAAGGTAAATATTTATCTTTCAGTGTCATATCTTAAATGCAAAAATACCACATTTTCTATGCCTTTATATTTTTTATTACCTGTTGTTATTCATTTTTACTGAGTTTAGTCGAGTAATCTCATACAATCTCTATCATGATATGATCAAATCATAGTGTGTAAAATTCTGTATGTGCTTGCGGTAATTATTAAAAGATTAATACTTGAAAAGTAGGACCGGAAGGTCATAATCGGTTTTCAACATATGTAATGACAATTTTAATGGTTTTGTTGATCTTGTTTTTCATATTTCACTGTACGAGTGATAAATACTTACCTTGGTCTGTTACTTGATGAGTTTCTTGATTATAATTAGGCCGTTAAACGTATAGCTCAAAGTGCAGGTAGAGCACCGGGGTTACTTATTGCGAAATCGAAAGCATTAGGGTCCGTGCAATATGATGTTTTTGTTAAATTATATGATTCAATGGTTTGGCCAGTCATTTCAAATGGTGCTTTTTTTGGGGTTATAAGTCATTTTCCTGCATTGATGCGATACAGAATAGGGCAATGCGTTTTTATCTGGGGGTAGGGCGGTATACACCTACAGCAGCTTTATATGGAGAATAAGCTTGGCAGCCTACAAATGTGGTACAATGGAGATCTGTATGTCAACAATGGCATAAATTTGATAGAATGGATGTAAATAGAGTTTATTATAAGATCTTTTCTACTTGTTTACGCAAGAGCAGAAGTCTAACAAGTAAACCGTTGACCAACGAGATAAGCTGATACAACCAGAGGTCAACTTGATTCAAATAAAGACTTTATCACAAACAAGAACTAATCGATTTTAACAGGTGTATTATAATTCGCTAGACTAATTATCTAATGATTGCCAACAGTGCGGATTTTAGACCTGTCAGTTAAAACCGTTGTTGTGTCCCAGGGCAAGAAACTTTACTCTCAGTACTGCTTATTAGAAAGTGTGTTTTTATGCTCACTGCGTTCGTTATACAGTCAGAATTTAGCACATGTATAAACTAATTGTTTGACTACCTTAGAACTATTTTAAAAGACATTTAAAAGCATATCTAAGCAAATGTCTATTTACTGAAAACTTTTAAAAGTAAAAACTAATAGAAACATACCAACAAAAGAATAAAATAACGCCAAATGTATTGATATATAAAAATTCCGTGTTATTTCCATGATGTGTACAGTAATTTGATGTTTAGATTATTTTTGTTTGCGGAAGTTTTATAAACAAAGAAAAATGTTATTTATGTGTTACATGTAACAAATACCATCTATTATATACCGAGCTGACAATGATAAAAAATATTTGTTTTCCAGAGGTTATATTCACATATAATTGATACCAGTACCTTTAATGTAGAATACTACCGGTGCTACAAGGTGCGAGAGATATTCCACCCTTCATTTATTCGCAAAAAAAGACGTGATCACACTGTATGGAAATTTCGTTTGCTTTTATTTTGTACTCTATGCTAATAAGCATCTTTCGAAAAGTATGAAATCGTTTTTTAATATTTAGTTTGATTTACATACTATACATACTAAAATTATTGTTAATTCAAAATACATACACTCACACTTTATTTGATTTTTTAGCTTCTTAATGTTATGTCTAGTAATAATCATGCTTGTTAACTTATGGAAACTATTCATTTGACTATGTATATATTCAAGATTTTCAATAATATATGTACTTGTAAAGTTTGTGTAAAATATTTTTGTATTGTTTTGCATTCAAATACAAATATCTTTTGTCTTCATAAATATTAAAAAGATTCGCAATCAAGCAAAAACAGTTTTATTCTGTGTTCACGCTTTTAAATGGATTTCCCCAACTTTTACTTTTTTGCCGCGCTATTTTACGTCGTGCACTTTCCCATGTGACGTCACTTAGTCTTGGTGTCACAATAATTTCGTATTTTTTAAAAGATATTTTGACACTTTAAGACGCAGCTCTATGTGCACATCTTTAGACTGCATGTATGCTACTTTAATTATAATGTAAATTGATTCGTGATGGAGAATATTTCCTTTGATTTTTTTTCCATTTATGATACATATAGATTTTTCATCGGCATCTAGATATAGTTCGGCGATTACATTTTAATTATTTCACTGTAAAATTATCAAATTAAGATTGATGCTTATTTTGTATTACTCACTTATTCGAAACAATATTAAAGAACTAAAACTCTACTGAATCTAGTGATAAAATCCGACCCTTATGATGCATATCTTCATGTGTAAAGTGTAAAGAAAATATGAAATTATGCGTTGTTTAAGATAGCCTTCCAAAACTTCCTCCTACCAAATACTGGTTTATAAACAAAATAGAGTAAAACAGAAAACACTATGTAATTTTAGACCTCTAAAAACGTTTGTTAGGCATTTGAAATTATAGATATATGCATATGAAAATGTTTAAGTAAAAATATATATGTATATGGAAAGTACAAATATCTTTTTTTAAAAATTGTCCATGGGCTTTTGAAAACTGGATTGGAGTTATGATGCATATGTTTGACGGCGGAAGCCTATTAAATAAGTGTGAAATAGCAGTTCAACGATTTCAACGATATCATTGTGTTTGTAACAAGACCCTCTGTTAACAGCGTACTTTCGCTTAGGTTAAACAAGAAAAAATGAATAACGAGGCATCTATTTTATTCAAAGAAAAGTAAATTCATTTATTCTATCAGAACGTTTTAATAAGTTTATCAACAAGTTATACTTGCATATCAAACCCTCAACTCAAACCAAGCTTTAAAAAGTCGTCATTCTATGAATAAGTTGCATGCTCGTGTTAAAGTCATTTAGTCGAGAAAGACCGGTATAAGGTTCTTATTTTTAATATGTATAGGTAAAGATATAAAATTGAAGAAAAAAGTTAAAAATGTCGCATTAGTGCCTGTGAGAGGTTATATTTGCATAATACCTTAAAAATAATTAAAAAAAAAAATTAAAAAAAAAACATATTAAGAACAGAAAATATCAATATAATACTTTATTAATGTTTTCTATTTAGTCATCTCCTGTATAAAAAGAACAGCGCTTCACATTGGCAAATAACAGCGGCTATATTTTTTCTTATGTATGTCAAATTCACGTCATCAAGTAAACAATAGTTATAACATCAACTTAACGTGTATCTAATATTTGCACTATTTTTTTTTAAATAGATCTACGCAACGGAAGAGTCATATGATCTTTATCATAGATTATCCTCTAAATTATACTGTATCTGTAACCCTAAACCTACTTATAACTTCCTTTTCGTACGAATCAAGTGTTTTGGTTGTTGTTTTTTTTGTTGTTGTTTTGTTTTCATATAATATCTTACCAGGCTTTTCAAAATACAATAACGAATGATAAAGACTTTTAATATCTCTTCATTACAACACGCGGGATTGCACTGATCATATCTTGGTAGTAAAACAATGCAAAGATAGAGTATAAAAATATAATTTGCACTTACGTACGAAAGACCGGTGGGGACATTTCAACTTCACGAATTCACGATTTCAACTTCATGAAGCGTTTTTCTTAACGGTTTTAATTCATTTTTTAATGATTTTCGTCACGTAATGTCTCATATCTTGTTTAGTGAAATTGTGTTTGTAAACAAAGTAGGGTAGGACCGGAAGGTGACAATTGGTCATCTAATTTTGTTATGATCCATAAAGCGCGGCCGAGCGTGCGTGCGTATGTGTGTTTGCCTTAATTTTTTTGTGATTGGACAAATGATGTTACAGTAATCTATTTAGATAAGGTGTCGGAATAGTAATCTAAGGATCTTTAGCCGCGTAGAGCCAAGCCGCGTCAGGGGCAAGGCGTTATTTCCTTTAGCGAACAGATCGGAAAGAAGCTTTTAAGCACATGGCTTCTTACACAATCGAACAAAAATATATTTAGTGTACACTTATTGTTTCAATACCTTTAAAGCTCGTTTAAAAGATAGTTCTACTATATTTACTGATGTAAAAATTTACTTTATATGTATAAATTTCTAGTTGCAAGAAGTATAATAGAAAAAACATACCAACAAAAGTATTACACAACGCCAAATGTAAAAATATATAACATATCCGTGTTTTCTCCATCGCTAGGTGCCTAGTTTTGATGAGTTTTAAATTATATTTCTCGTCCTAAGTTATTTAAGCAGCAGAAAATTTAAATTCCAAAAAGATTACGTAATTCATAAACCCAACCTTTGTAAAAAGTAATTGCATTTTATAGTCCAAGTTTCATGCTAACACACGTTCACCGACTTTACAGCTATTACCCCTGTCATTGTCATTTATATCTTCATAAAAAATGTGAAAGTATACCCTTCATTGAAATATAACATAACAATATGTAATGCGATCAAAAGTTTAAAGAACACCCAGAGACCTTTTATAACGTTTGTAGTAATTGTAAAGGTAATTGTAGATGTAATTGTGTAAGCAAAAAATATATTGAACGGTGTTAATTGCCTTTGAAATACTGGTTTGGGATTATGATGCATGATTGCGAAAACAACAAAAGCCTTAGGTGTTAAAAAGGCGTTAAATAGCACAAGATAACCCCAAATGAATAGCATTCCGTTTCTTTCTAACATGATCATCTGTTCTGTGTCCACTCTACTTTCGCTTAGGTAAATCACAAAAGAAAAAATAAGAAAACAACTTTCTAATTATAAGTGAAGTACATTTATTGATTACTTTTTAGATATTGTTTAATCAATTTATTAACAATATAAACTTGCATATCAGTCTAGATTTTCGAGTGTTTAAACCGGTATCAATCAAAATCTCTACTCGAGTAAAGCTTTAAAAGGGAAAGAATGATAAAAGATTGTTCTACATTAAATATATACAGAGATAAATATATAAATTCAAATTTGTCGCATCGGTCAAGTGAGAAGTTGTACTTGCATAAAAATTATCCAAAACATAATAGAAAACATTTATAATATACTTATCAATTAATTATTAATGTTGCCTCTGTTTATCCATCTTCTCGGAAAGAATACATGTATAAAAAGAGCAGCGGTATTCATTTGACAAATAATACCGGCTCTTTTATTCTTAATGCATGTCACATTCTAGTACAATATATACACATCGTTTTAATAATAGATATCACGTCAACTAAACATGTTCCTAAAAGTAGCATAATATATGTAAAGTGTCAAATGATCATAAAATATCCAATTTGATTGTACTGTATTTTAATACACCTGCTTATAATTTGGCGGATAAAAACGTCCCCTTTGTATAATATTTTACCTTGCTTTGCTACAATTATGTAATGACAAAGAAAGAACTATATTGGCTCATGGAAAATCAGATTTTAACTGCTTTTATGTTGGTTTGTTATTGAAATAACAGAATGCAAAGATGAAATGTAGAATTAAATGTCACATAATTCGGAGTCATAACATTTCCATATACTGAGAGTGATGAAATAAAATATCGGGTAATTGAAAGTGTATGAGTCATTAGAAAAGGAAATAAGAGTTTGCGTTTAATTTTCAAGCTTCCATTCAAACCAAACTTTGTGTTCAATATAACATATCTGTGGTCATTGTCTCACACACACAAAGACACACACATACGAACAAATTACGAACATATTAAAGCCTTTTTGCATCAAGTAAACTCGTTTAATTAAAATTAACAGTTTTACAAATGTATTTACACTGTATATTTCTAAATAAATACATGTACATCTCGAAACGACATATTATATTTTCAAGTAGAAATGTACATGTATTTATCATTTCTCAAAATAGATTGTCTGTTACACTTTGTTGTCAATTTTAGAAGCCTGAACAAAATGAACTTGCCATAAATAGTTTAACCATGGACATTTAATTTGATATCATTGAAGTTTTAGTTTAAAAAAAGTGATTTATATCTATTTCATGTCAAAACAAGCGGAATATGCTGTCATTAATGTCGACGATTAGAAAATGTTTATACAATATATTATTAATAATTTTAGAGCAAACAGCAAATGTTCTACGTTTTGCAAATTTAAAAGAAAACAACGTATAAACAAGTTATATAAACATTGCTTCGTTAATACAAACTGCGCTATAAAGGAGACTTTAAAAGAGAAATGAAGACATAACAAGTGAAAATTTAGATATAATACAGTCTAGATATATAAAAGTGCAACAAAATGAGAATACATGGTAGAATACGGGTGTGGGATTAACATGTTCTACATTATCTTAAAAATTTGTTTTTGTATGATTAATTTGATTTATTTTAACTGCGTTACTGAGTAGAACGCACCTTGCTTATTCAATTAATCTCAATATACAAAATATTCCGAGCATATTCCGAACATTGCAAATACAAACATAGTGCATTGATCTTTCTCCGAGTGTAAAATCATAATAATTAAATCTAGACACACGAACGACGCAAGGACAATAGGCATTTTCTTTTGAACGAAGAATCACTGCCGAGTGGTAATTTTCTATAAACAATTGACTTGTTCATGAAACAAGCTCACAGAATGTTTTCTTATGTGTATTCAAAAGATGTCAAAATAATCATGGATTAGAAATATTACTTTTATATAGTTATATACGATAACAATAATACAATCTACTGAGATTGGAAAAGATAACAAGAAACTATAGACAGATATGTACAGTCAAATAATGTTCTGAGCACTTGTTTGTTTCTTCCTTATTTGGATATTTATTTATATAAACTTTTTCCAAACAAAATTTATCTTAAATCAAATTTTCTGATTCTTTCGCTCACACCAGCTTAATTTCGTTTAGATAAGAATTAAAAATGTTTCATTCTAATGCAAATATTAAAGTCTTGTATTCTAAAACTATGCAGCTGATGAAATATCAAGTAGAAAATACAAACACATCACGAAAAAAAATATGTTCTTTTAGAAATAAAAACTCAAATTTTTACGATTACATATGCATGAAGGATGTTGACGTATCATTAATTAATAAAAATAATCCCCTTTTAAAAGGTAACATGATCGCATATACTGCATTATTGATAAAAAAACAGAAAGTTACGAGGTAGCTGAAATTATAATTTTTAATATTATGGAAGTGTTACATAGTGTTCATCTTCGTCCTTAAGTTCTTTTTCAGTTTTGGTCAATTGGTAACTATCGTTAGAGAAGTAGCTCTTGTATGTTTGCAAGCTACCGTGATGGTCTCCTAACTTTCCTTCAAGTTGGACTGGGGCTCTCAAACTGTCGAAACTAACGATTCGGTATGTATTGTCGCCTTCATTAGTTGTAGTAGTCTTGTCGTCTGGAAGTTTTAAGGTCTCATACACCTTTGTGGTGTCTGTATCCTCAGTATCCTTCGGCATTCTGAAATAATTTAACCATTTAGAAAACTATTTTTACATAGTGAAAGCTCTTTAAATTAGCAAATTTGAAGTATTTTATTTTGAAAAAATACGCATGATGTTAACATACAAGTAAAATAAATATTACATACCGTCTTCGCCAAATGATGAAAATTATCAAACCACATATAACTGCTGTCATAAGACCAATCACTGATATTGCAATAATAAGCAGTTCGTTATTGGCATCAGATGCTGAAACAATATCAGACAATTATATCTTGATGAAGTATATCTACAAATATTGAATGGACTATATGCAACGTTATTAGTTTTACATTAATATGAATGTGTGATACCATGTAAAATAGTGACAAAAGGAATACAATTATTGAGGATGAAAAGGACATTATGTAAGTGTAACAACACGATCAGTTTTTTCACACATTACTGGATTATTAATTGATAACAGGTTATAAATCTTAAACATACACTCGTGTTCTTTCGTTTTGCTTAATGTATCGCCATTGGTTGTCGTGTCCTCGACCTCAGTAGAACGTCCCGAAGACCTTTGCATTGTAACTGTGGTGGTTGTCAGGGAAGATGAATCTCTTTTGGTTGACGTGTACTTGACACCAGCAGAGCTATGTGTGGAACTTTCATGTCCGATTGTAGTGCTTGGATATATCATTTCTGTAGTACTGTCTAGTGCACTTGCGGTGCTTCTTGCTTGTGTAGTTGTCTGTTTTGACCCAGTTGTTGATTCTTCTCTTTTATCTTTAAACATTGAATTAGTTTATTTTAAGCAGGGAATCATATTTTTTCACGTATATGTTTTCATTTCCATATCACATATATGTATTTTGTAATTATTAACGATTGAGAAAAATACTAGTCAAAATTCTTATATCTATGTTATAAATACTTTATATTTACCAAAACAATATCTTTGATGACAACTGGATGGAAGATCAATAAAACAATATGCCATAAACTCTCCACAATTGACAGCTGTTAGCTTGTAGGTATTCAGACAACAACTATCAAAGTCTCTTAGGCATGATGTACGACTCATCACACCTTCTTCCGGTTCCGGATTCTTACCTAGAAATAATATGCAATAATATACAGTAATAAGGTTATCCACTACAAATGCTGAATGTATCAAATTCACACTCAATTGGTAATATATAATGACTTTCGACGTAATGTAATGATCAATAAGATTGTCTGTTTGTTTGGTTGGTCGGTCGGCCGGTTGAATTTAACGCCGTTTTAACATCCATATTGGTCATATCCTGGCGGTTAATCAGCAACCATATTGGCCTTCCTCGAAAGCTAACAAGAAATTCCCATTTCCTCCCCAAGTGACCACCTTTTCGTGGTGACCAAATGTGCTCGAGGAATGTCAGTCATAACAGTCTGATGATGACACAGCCAGTACTATGTCGCTTCACGCCATATTTTAACCTTCAGTGCGCATTGCATTGTTTGACAGACTAGCCCTTTTTGCTTTAACTAAAATTGAGCTTGTATTTTGACGTCAAATGTCTATCATCATTGATTATCATAAAAACTATTTTGAATATTTCGTTCAGTGTCTTTAAAGTAAAATGTAAAAGCAAACAATCCTGCTCAAAAAAGGAGTTTGTATGTTTTGCGATTCAATTATCTCACAGCAGTTGCATGTAAAACATTTTACCGTTCATCCAAATAGGAAACTTTGTTCCACACATGTACATGCTGCTCGGACAGCTAGTGCTCATTCGTGTTTCACTACTGTACCATTGAGAGGTATTGATTGAATAAACGTCACAAAATTTCCAATGTGACGTTTCGTTTGTCATCACATATGTTGGATCTCTTGTTGATACATTCGGAATTTCAGGAATTATTCTATTGCATACATCTGAAAATGTTAGATATATTATAAGTCTGTATGGTAACTGGTTAGCTATATACAGTGGGAATTTTTATTCGTATTTTTATTAATAAACAATGTTCGTAATAATACTTGTGTGTTCCTATTGAATCTTTCTGCAAGGTAGTAATGCTCATTTTTGTACTGATCCCCGCATAAAAGCTACATACATTTAATTAAATTATTCATAGAAATATACATGTTCTTCTTTCTTATTAAGTGTTTTTAACGATCTTTTTAATTTTATTCTAGTATCATATCTTTAATACACCTACTCTGTTCAATATAGACATTATTTGTCATTTGTGTGTTGTTCCAAAATTTTGTCATCTTGACTAAATATAGATGTACTGTATTGTATTGTTGATACTGATATAATAAAACACACGTTTGTCGAGTTTTAAAATAAACACAATACTTTTCCAATTACAGTGTTTATGCAATACTAACAATGATTAGTTTTATATGCTGATATTTTTACCTAAAGTAGAAGATTGACAACTATCACAACAGTCTAATATTATATTTCTAATGATGAAATTAATGCTATATAACTATTGAAGTGATTCCAACGAAGCCTTTTGACATGACATGACTGGAAATATTTCCGAGATTTGTGAACCATTTGATGTAGGTCTGAATCATGAACTTTTGTGCAAATTTTCAGATCAATCCGTGACCTCGTTTTTCCCAAATTGATCATTTTTATTGCGCAAAATTCCCTGCTTTTCACTCAATTCGCGCTAACAAAATGCACTAATAATCGATTTAAATTTCATTCTTAGTATATTGTACATGCATTTATGTGCTTGGAGCGACGAAACACTAAACCACAAAAAAAAAAGAAAACAAAACAAACAAAACACAAACGCAAAACCCAGTAAAATAATATGTCAAGTATTACAGTTTTGTAACCTCAGTGGAACTCATTAAAATCGAATAAAATATAATTTGACATGAATATTTGATAATCTGCCAACGTCATATTGATTTGCAACAAAAGTGTTAAAACGAAAGTATGTTGATTTTATTTAATATATATTTCAGGTATTCATTTATCGTTGTTCATGAAATTGGACATTTTTCAATGCTGTTTTTTTTTCTTCAAATTTTTGTTTGTTTACTTTTCATTGAGAAAAATGATCAGAGAAAATAGCTGGTGATTTTTTTTTAAACTAAAATAATTATAGTTTATATAATTCATAATCATGATGAATAATAAACTGTTCGCTTGTTTTTTTTAGAACGAAATATAAACATAAAAGCTGCAGGTAATGAAATTTAAACAACAATTTTGCCTATGCCCATTTTAGTTAATACTTTACATTTTAGGGCAATAATTATGAACATTTTGCACATACCTATTTTAGTTCATATTTAACATTTTTAGACAATAATTATAATCATTAGTTACATAAAACAAAACAATAAAATACCTGTTGCAGAACCGGAGCAATCCGAGGCAGCTACACCAACTGTAAAATAAAACCTTTTGACTATTTACTGAACACCTGATTGATTACATTTTGATGATATATGATTCATACATATAGAGTTTATATTTCAATAAAGCACTGATATAAAAAAAATCTAAGTTAACTATCTTTCTCAATTTTTGGTGATGTTATAGCCTCTCTTTCTAAACCAAGAAGGGTGATTACGTAGGTTTACAAGAAACATTTTTTATGTCATGACTCCCAAAAAATTGGCGTAGTTAAAGGTCTGGTCAATTCATATATCAAAACCTTTATAATTCGAAACAATAACAGCAACAAAAAGAACTTTTATAATTTATAAACAATGATTATTAACAATGACTAGAAATGTATGTGGTTGACAAAAATATTTAAAAACATATTCACAAATCTTAGTACCAAAATCTATTGTAGATCTATGATACAAATGTATATACAATTATAATTGTTTCATTGTGTTTACAGGTGTTATTATACAGTTTTGTAGAGAACGCTACTCTTTATAACATTTTAATAATAATGTGAAAATATTTCATCTACAAATATATTTAAATGAAACAAACCCTAGCTAATTATCTATTTAACGGTAAATGTACTCTTATTATAAAGAATAATAGCCCTTATCTTTGTTATAATGTAAATTTTATAATGCCAGTTTATTAATTAGTATTGTAATTATACCTATGCATTGTAATGTAAATGTCATTTCAACTTTATGTACATTGTATTGTATGTGTAATATGTAATTATTTTTATATTTTTCCTTAAGTTAATATGGTCATGTTTAGTATTAAAATGATCATATGTTTTTATAGATTTTTGTTAAAAACATTAATTACAGTAAATTGCAAGTTTACTTCAATAAGGAGCATTTTCTTAAAAATTGTTTTTAAACATATAAAAATTTCCCATATTATAAAAACAACTCTAAGTAAAATTTTTTAATACAATGTGGCATTTTAAGTCTTCCTGCTTAATAGTGGCACTGATTACTTACAATTACTCTCAAAGGCTTAAATCCAAGCCAATTTGTTTATTATACAAACAAGGAAGCCAGGGTGATAACTTTTCACAAACACAAATAATAAAAAGGTGATTTGTTGTTAACTTATGTTTGCATAGTTAATGGAAATGGCTTCCTGTTATTTTTCACAGCTTTCGGCACTTTTCTGTATAAAAACTCCGTGGATTTTTCTATGGATATCATTCACCATCCATCGTTTTAAAAATAAAGTTGTGTTTAAATTTATATTGGATTTTGGAATTTTATATTAATTTTCAGGTAAATTTATTTCTATGTTCTTTTATTATCATTTTTTTAAAACCTTATATTGTACAAGATATTGCACTCTTTGTAATTATGATATTTCATTAATTTCTTAACATTTATTATTCTTAGTTTTATTATATATAACATTGTAATGTGTGTATAAGTTAGTACTTATAGTACAAAGTAGCATTATGCTGATAAAACTTGTGTAGCTATAATAAGAAATATTCTATCTACTTTCCTTGATATTTCTTAAGTATAAAAAAAAGAATGTAACAAAATATAAAATATAAGAATAGAGAATTTAAATCTAACATGCATTATATATATATCAATTATTGTAACTAAATCTGTTATATTACATCAGGCTAAATTTTTGTTACAAGAATTATTTTATACTATTTTCTTAAAATCTAAATTCTTAATTTTTATCTGCAAACAATGTGTTTTGATTCAATTAATTATTTTGTTCTTTGTGCATATTAAATACATTTTAAATAAATTAATCTTGGTCAATTAAACAAGATAATTCGGCTAATTTCTATATTTTAATTAAGTACCTAATCGCTCGGGTTAAGTCATCGACCAAGATCTCGGTATACCTTTTCACTGCCAAGCTAATTACTAAATTGTTACTTATATTGGTTAAATTAATTGTATAACTATGTATATCATTTTTGCTTCTTCCCCTATTGTAAGAATGTAATGTATACCATCAATGTTACAATTTCAATTAAATATTAGTTTTACTTAATTACATACTTATGCAATTATTTTATAATTCACCTATGTTATTATAAAATATATTGTTATATCATTCACCATCCATCGTTTTAAAAATAAAGTTGTGTTTAAATTTATATTGGATTTTGGAATTTTATATTAATTTTCAGTTTCCCCACCCAGTCCAAATCTGCGTTATAACAGGTGGTGGGTACAGTGGTTGGTCTGATGCACCCAGCGAATAGGTACAACCTTCGAAGTGCCGGAGATCCTTCAACTTTGCCAACAACACCAGATAGAACAACAATGTCAAACTCTTATCTCAGCAACATGAAGCTGTATCCCTTCGAAGAAAATGGGTATGTGGTTGTTAACAAAGCAAGCAAGGAACACAAATACCAATCAAACTGTAAAAGTCAATAACAAGGAAAACCCGTCTGGTACAACAGATATAATATAGGAATACACCTGAAAAAAATGAAAGACTTAAGGTCTGGAAAAATAATAAGTTATGGTCACAGTAATTGTAAACAGCACTTCCAGTTTGAAAAGTCCAGAAAATGGATCAACAAGGACAAATGCGCTATTGAGGATGTGCAAGAATATCTTATAAGGAAAGCAGCTAGGAAACCTTTATTGCACAAGATGATGACTCGCAGCAGAGCACGTGAGGAGAAACAGGATATAGAGGGTTAAATTGTCTTGATTGGGAGTGCCTTTACTTTTATTCTCTGATAAATCCATATGGTACTTATCTATAAATTATTTTCCCTTGTTTCGGAACAGGTCCCCAAATCAAAATTTTTTTTTCATGTAGCTAAGCCAACTTTTACAAATTTAATTATTTGTGTCTATAGTGCTATAGGATGGCTGATCACCATTCAACCCGGCTAACCTGCATGCATTTTTTTTCTCTTTTAGAACCACCCTTAAGAGAACTAAAAGTTGGGGGCATGCTCATTTGGATCCTGACCTTCTTTTTCTGTTTCACCCAGCCGGCAACGTGCAGTAAGTCCATATCAAGGTTAAACTATGGAGTCGTTTTTAAGAACATTGCTGATTTACATCTTGCAAATGAACATTGGGTTCACACTTTTGAATTGCCAATTCCGGAAAAACTAACACTCCCTGTTATAGGGAATTGTCATAGAGACAATGAAACGTGTATAATGGTGAGCCATGTGTTGGCTCAAATAAACACGATCAGGGCCGAAACATCCTTTCGAATGGATGATACAATTGATGCAATTAAGCGCCTTATGTCAAAATACGAATTGAAAATACATTGCTGTTTGTTCTAGCCTAGGACAAAGCTACACTTTCTGGTACACACCTTTGCATCAGGCCAAAGAACAATTTAAATGTTGTACATATCTTTCATGTGTATATACTTCTATTTTGCTTTGTATCTTTTTATTGTTACAATGTAAATTTTGTAATGCTATTTTTTTTCAATGTATGTTCTCAGTCATTTCAACTTTGGGGACCAAAGTTTTAGGGGTCCAGGCAATTGTTATAATGTAAATTTTATTATGCAAGTTTATTAATTAGTATTGTAATTATACCTATGCATTGTTATGTTAATGTCATTTCAACTTTATGTACATTGTATTGTATGTGTAATATGTAATTATTTTTATATTTTTCCTTAAGTTAATATGGTCATGTTTAGTATCAAAATGATCATATGTTTTTATAGATTTTTGTTAAAAACATTAATTACAGTAAATTGCAAGTTTACTTCAATAAGGAGCTTTTTCTTAAAAATTGTTTTTAAACATATAAAAATTTCCCATATTATAAAAACAACTCTAAGTAAAATTTTTTAATACAATGTGGCATTTTAAGTCTTCCTGCTTAATAGTGGCACTGATTAGTTACAATTACTCTCAAAGGCTTAAGTCCAAGCCAATTTGTTTATTATACAAACAAGGAAGCCAGGGTGATAACTTTTCACAAACACAAATAATAAAAAGGTGATTTGTTGTTAACTTATGTTTGCATAGTTAATGGAAATGGCTTCCTGTTATTTTTCACAGCTTTCGGCACTTTTCTGTATAAAAACTCCGTGGATTTTTCTATGGATATCATTCACCATCCATCGTTTTAAAAATAAAGTTGTGTTTAAATTTATATTGGATTTTGGAATTTTATATTAATTTTCAGGTAAATTTATTTCTATGTTCTTTTATTATCATTTTTTTAAAACTTTATATTGTACAAGATATTGCACTCTTTGTAATTATGATATTTCATTAATTTCTTAACATTTATTATTCTTAGTTTTATTGTATATAACATTGTAATGTGTGTATAAGTTAGTACTTATAGTACAAAGTAGCATTATGCTGATAAAACTTGTGTAGCTATAATAAGAAATATTCTATCTACTTTCCTTGATATTTCTTAAGAATAAAAAAAAAAGAATCTAACAAAATATAAAATATAAGAATAGAGAATTTAAATCTAACATGCATTATATATATATATCAATTATTGTAACTAAATCTGTTATATTACATCAGGCTAAATTTTTGTTACAAGAATTATTTTATACTATTTTCTTAAAATCTAAATTCTTAATTTTTATCTGCAAACAATGTGTTTTGATTCAATTAATTATTTTGTTCTTTGTGCATATTAAATACATTTTAAATAAATTAATCTTGGTCAATTAAACAAGATAATTCGGCTAATTTCTATGTTTTAATTAAGTACCTAATCGCTCGGGTTAAGTCATCGACCAAGATCTCGGTATACCTTTTCACTGCCAAGCTAATTACTAAATTGTTACTTATATTGGTTAAATTAATTGTATAACTATGTATATCATTTTTGCTTCTTCCCCTATTGTAAGAATGTAATGTTACAATTTCAATTAAATATTAGTTTTACTTAATTACATACTTATGCAATTATTTTATAAATCACCTATGTTATTATAAAATATATTGTTATATCATTCACCATCCATCGTTTTAAAAATAAAGTTGTGTTTAAATTTATATTGGATTTTGGAATTTTATATTAATTTTCAGTTTCCCCACCCAGTCCAAATCTGCGTTATAACATCTTACCTATATACAAAGATATTTAAATGAAACAAAGGCTAGCTACAACATCTATTTAACTGTTTGTGTATATTTATTATAAAAAATAATATTCATAATCTTACCTATAAAGAATCCAACACCAAGAACAATCAAATTAACATATAAGTACATATTTCACAGCAGCAGTGTTTCTGTACTTTTTTCCTTGTGAAATAATCTACCTTTTTTACACCATCATAATATAATTTCACCGTGTAACTGGTGATACGGAAAAGTACCGTTTTTGTACAAAGAGATCCGAATATAAAGCGTTTCAATAAATTTATATTTTCTTCCTGTTTGACATATAACTAATGCATGGGTAGTTTTAACGTTAATTTAGGTAAAGCAATTCTGAAACTTGAAACTGGGTCTGTTTAATTTATTACTTTATTATATCGAGTTGCGGTAATATTGTGTAATTAGTTAGAAGAATCATGATCAGTATCAATATTCAATGTAGCAATTGTTTCCCATGAATAAAGAAACAAGGCATCACGTGAACTTGCTAAACCACGACACAAGTATAGGTTAGAGTGCATATTGGGTGTTCTTCGTAAATAAGAAAGCTAAAAAGGAGCGGAGCTTGCGAAGCGACTGTAGCTTTCTTATTTACGAAGAACATCCAATATGCACTCTAACCGGCTTAGTGCTCCGCCCATTTTTTCCGCCCAACACACTGCGTGACGTCACACGATAGCCTAAATGTGTATAACCATATTTGGAAGAGGTAGCGGTACACATTTTCGGGTCACGTGTTTTGCATAGCTTATTCCTGCAGTCTGTCTAGGTAAATCAGACAATATCACGGTGCATATCCATATCGGTACCCTCTTTGCGAAATATTCTCAAACGGTACCCTCTTTGAACATACACAGGTCATTCTCTGCTAAAAACAAACCAGCGATGGATAACAATGCAGTGAAAATTCATTGTAATAAGGAAAGGAGGTATGACACGTAGAAAAGATGTATAGCACGGAACACTAGAATGCTTTATTTATGTGCTGATTTGTCATGTGCCCGATTTTCATGTACTGCAACTTCACAATAAGCTACAAAAAGTCGACATGTCTTGCCTCGCCCTTTACCTTGACATATTTTTCGGGCTGAAATGAACCTGTAGCTGCTTGATTATATATGCATCATACATATTTATTATGTTCATATACATATCATCTTCGGACAAATGGCAGTAGATCTATATTGTCAAAAATAAATGTAAAATTAATAAAAACACCCTACTTTCGGTTTTGCAGCGGCACGGGCTGTAATATTTACATAAAAAAGTAAGAAATATTACATACTGCAGTACATACTTTGTTGGAATAAGTGAACTTTTTATTTGGAAATTATAAAATGATACTGGTTCCGTAAGTAATAAAAAATTTTTACTGTTATTTTGCCTGTTTTCATTTCAATGAACCTCTTTTTTTAAATTTTATGCCGTAGTGACGATATACATGTGCGTGTACGGAAAAAACATGATGCATAAATATTGATTAGTAGGAGTAAACTTCAAGATCTCTGCACATGCGTATATTTCACTTTAGCGCTCTTCGAAACTTAGCTCCGCCCACTTGCGTTTTATAATATAAAACGTCCAGTTTATATAAAATCTGTTCTATTAAGATTTGAAACCTGAAAATTTGAAAAATCCTCGTCGGTGTTTGGCTTAAAAAAATTTGCGAGCACTAATTATCTTTGAAAGGCTCTTTTAAATGATAATGTTACGTATACACACATTTTTTCAATACTGCATTTAATAATATATCATTCTTGATTTTACATTTCGGTTTTATCAAGCATTTAGAAAATGTGAACAAGAAAAGCAATATTGTTGAAATGTTATATGAATTAGTTTGATTTTAAAACTATACATTACAACTCGATCACACACACACGCACGTACGCACGCAAGCGCGCACACACACGCACAACACACACACGCACGCACAACAAAAGATACATTATGTTAGTTATAAAACCAAAACATTATGTTAGTTAATAAAATAAATGAAATATGATATTAATCGGAGATATACATTATGTGAGTTATAAGATACACACATTATGTAAATTAAAATGATCTTTATATTGATTTATCAAACACATAAAAGTTGTCATCTATCAAGATATACTGTATGTCAGTTTATCAAACACATATATATATATATATGTACTTTTATCAAAAGTTTACATTATATCAAATATATGCAATATGCTATAAATATTGCTACCTATCCAACACATACAATTTGTAAGGTTTTTAAACACATATGATATGTCACTTTATAAAAAAAAACTTTCATCATATCAAACACATATAATATGTAAATGTAAAATCACACAAAGGATGTTGTTTTACATACATAAGGACAGATACTGTTTAAGCATGTAAGGTCTTATATATCAGTCTTTTAAACACAGTGCTAAGTATTTTGTTTGTCCACCGAATACTACGCAACAAAAGACTCTTTTTAAGTGAGGAGAATTCCAGAGACTATTGACTGTCAAACACTTGATGTTTTGATGATTTCTTATAGTGAAATAGAGGATATTTGTTTAGTTCAGTGTAAGATCGGAATATATTTCACCGAGTGAGCACCAAAAGTTATATTTCATGAGTGGCGCAGCCACGAGTGAAATATGAACTTTTGGTGTTCACAAGGTGAAATATATTTCGATCTTACACTAAACTAAACAAATTTTCTTTTTATTACATGCAAAGAAACGTTTTAAAAAGACATTAAACCTAATACTGAATGAAAAGCGCGCCGAATAATAATACAACGTGACGTCATTTACGACGTCACGTCATTAAGTTGGTACCCAGTACTGTGCACGCTGGTATTTCACTGAAACAACGTAAGGGGCTTACTGAATGAAAAGCGCGCCAAAAAATAATACAACGTGACGTCATTTACGACGTCACGTCATTAAGTTGGTTCCCAGTACTGTGCACGCTGGTATTTCACTGAAACAACGTAAGGGGCTTAAATTCAAAACAGTGAAATTATCAAAGTGGTAATTTCACTGTTTCAAACAGTGAAATTACCAATTTTATGTCACTGATATATTTCTATAAACCACCGAAAAGCATGTAATAAAAAATTGATAAACAGTGTTGGTGTTGATCAATATATCAAAATCAACTGTTAAGCTACAATGTAGGAAGAACTATTTCGAACCTAACAACATGCTAAAACATGTTACGAATTAGAAAAATATTGGACACGTTGAGACAAAACAAAAATAAACAATACTGTCGCATAATTCTGAAGTTTCTACTATGTCCAGCAGTAGAAAAAGCTGTTTAAATCAATACAAATTTAAGCTCTTTACGACATATCATACAATGTTGGGTATACCATGCATACTGATGATTATATACCCTTTACTTTAATTCCAATAAAAATGTTTCTCTGATGAGTAGTGTTAAAGCTGGGGTTCCATGTGACTGTGATTTACACCTTGAAATATCAATTGTTTCACCTGGAATATACAGCAGTAGCATCTGAATTCATTGCATTGTCTATCACAAATATTGGACCGAGTCGCTCGTATGGGTTTAAATTATGTCGTTATTGTATTATATATTTGTACCACGATAAATAAATCTGCATTTTTATAAATGACATTGTGAAAAAAAAAATGAATGAAAGTTGATAGACAAAAGTTGATCGTATGTGGTGTAAAGAAGGATGTGCAAGGTGCGCGTGACTGTTTTGTGTTTTAGGAATGAGGTTTTAGTCGTAACACATTCATTGTCGGGACAGCAGTACGCGTCTAGAAAATTCAAACTTGACATGTACATTCAGTCACTGACAGGTATTTTTGATCTTTGATTCTTAAAGATCGTTCAGCATACCATTTATAAAATCACATGTCTCTTAGAGAAATGGTGCATATTTGCAACCTGAAATAACACCCGAGGCGGAGTTAATGTATTTTTTCACCGCTATGCACTATTATATAATTATTGACTAGTTTGTCATGGAAAATGGTGTGATATTCACAGGCGGGTGACATATTGACCGAGTCGATAGCCGATGTCAATATGACTTTCTGCCGGTGTATAACACATCATATTCAATTGAACACTAGTTAATAAGGGTTTTATTATATGAATAGGCTATAAGAATCTAAAAAAAACACAGAAAGTACAACTTCACACATGTACAACGTTTGGTTGTTTCGTTGAATCGCGGGAAGGCGTCCAACAACTACGCGCACGTTGCGCATATAAATGTAATTCAAGTTTATACTCATCATTGCGGTGTACAGTAAAGTAATGATATTTTATCGAGAAATATACCATAAAGAACAAACCGCAACAATTATTTTTTTAATTAGCACGCGTAATTAACAGTCTACGATATATGGTAATTGAATATGAGTCTCAATCTATTTTTAGACTTGAAAATTCCAATTCAGCCAGTGAATATGATACTATACCCAGTGAATATGATTTATAAAAAAAGTTATGTTGACTACTGTTTGGACCAATAAGATTGCCACTATATTTAGATCATATAATGATAATGCATTATTACTCTGAGACCAATTCATCTGCGACCAGGGCAGAGAACTATAACATTACCTTTCATTAAGTCTTACTCTATATAGATCACTCATCCCTGGTGAATATTGCAAAAATTATTGACAAGTTGATTCAATTCCAGTATGATAGATCGAAATAACGTAATGTGACGTCACATAAGGCTATATAGTAAAATGTTTCTGGAGGTATAATAATAGGATGTGATGCCTGCTTTAAATGAAAAAATAAATGCTAATATGTGATATCGATGCTGAATAACATCTGGTCCTCTTTCAAAATTCCATTTTATTTAGATATCTTATGTTAAATGAGGAATTTTGCTTAAGCCGTTGCAAGTTGATATGTGATCACTAGCTTGCACTTTCCAGTATAGTCCAGCTTAATTATCCCGAGCCTGCATCATTTTGCAATTTTGTCATTTAGAAGTTTTATTACGAATCATTGATCCTCAACTTTGTTTTACGACGCTTGAACACTCTACAAACATTAAAATATTAATGTTTTATCATAATTATCATAAATTTTATAACACCAAGAACAACAAAGGTGATATTATCTTTGAATTTATTAAAGATTTTAGCAAAGCTTTTTTCAGAATAATAACAACAAATTATCATGAATAACCGTTACAGACGCGGTTTAACGGTCATATATGCAAGGGATTATGCCCATCTAAGGTAATATATTTAGTGAACAGGTGAAAGTCAAAATAAGATAACATTTTGCCATAATTTTTATAAATGATATAATTTACTTCAGTATGAACGATAAATACATCATATGGCCAAGAGAAATTCTGTAATTATCCATCAGAATTTACCTTTGATGTTTAATTCTAAAAGAATGACGCAATCTTTTTATATTAAGGTAGATTAATACTTTATCAATATCACCTGTTGGTCTATCAAAGACAAGAATAAAGATCAACAAGGCAAAGGCAACGTTCACAGGACGCAGCCCCAGACACACCCAAGTAGGGCAAACAGATAGCAACCATCATAACAGCCTATTTTTAAAAATATACATGTTTAGTCAATTTAGCTAAACTTGACAATCAAAAATGAGCATAATGTCACTTTAACAATCTTTCTAAAAAGTAATTGTATAGAAATTGTATTTAAATATCAGTTATGTAAATACTCATATGAAAAGAAGAATTGTACAGAAAAATATATTTTCCTTTTGTGCTATACATTATGTGAAGTGCACATGAGTCGTGATGCAAATGGAACGAGTCTTGCAACTTTTAAGAAAGGAAAAATAAGCAAAACTTCTTTAACAATAAATCCACACGATTTTCCATATAATTGTAGAAAAATGATATAGTGATTGTGAATATAATACAATTGTATGGAAATAAATAAATAAATAAATAAAATCACAGTTATTTCATCACAGATGTTTCGTCCATACCAAATATTTTCCTGAAAGGCGGGACGGGTAATTGTGTCTGACTATCATATAAAGCACAATGTTTGAAGGCACACGGACTTTCGCGCCATAAATACCTGAAACAAGAATACACACCTTGAACTTAAATAAGTAACTTATCTTTATCTGCTTATTGAGTCAATTTATATTAATTTTGAAAATCTTGAAAATTGCTGATCCCTTTAGAGATAAGAAATCAAATGAAAATAAGTGTAAAAATTGAGCAGGTTCATAGCTTCATAAGAGAAATTAAGTGTGCAATAACTCTCAGAGGGCTTACCCTGCACTCCCCACCCTCACACTGTTTTAAATATGAAATAAATTATCATATTCAAGAAAAGATAACAACTTAATAGTTTTATACGCTCCGTGATTATACAAATATGGCGTATTGTTGAAATGTTATATAGATGACTATAGTAATGATTATGCTACCTAAAACCATCGTCGGATACCCACGGCCGAACCATTAAATTTTATCAGATATCTTGATTCAAGTTTATAAACCGTGGGTATCCGACGATGCCTGAAACCTAGCATGTATTGAAATGGCATATAGATGATTTTAGTAATGAATACATTACCTGACACCTAGGACGTGCTGTATATAACAGTCACCTATATCAATTTCCACTGTGGACTTTCTATAACGTACGATATCTACTGTGTACCAGGGACTTTCTTCAAGACAATCTACAGCCGCGCTAGCACAACAAATCTGTAAATGTACGTAATAAATATTTAATTTATCATACTTTAGAGAAAATACGTTTATCGTAATATTTTGAAACTTTGGCATATTTTCCACCATTAAGTAAGTGTATCTTGCACAGAATACAAAAAATATGCAATACATTTTGTAAGAAAGTAATTGTCCATCATAAGTATCTTGTAAAATATTTTAAAAAGTAGATAAAACATTTAATGAATAGTTGTCAGCATTTGAACATAATATGGGTATTTTGATAGAAATTTATTCAATATCTGAACAGTGCGATAAAGAATTCCCTTAAAAAAGACAAACAAAAACAAACAAACAGAAAAAAAAATCGACGAGCGTCGAGTGTAACTTAACAATATGACCGCTTAAGCCCTGAACTAATATTTGTCATCATATTAACTAAGGTCCCTTTGCAATATGTTGCAAATTCTTTTTATTTTAGCCCGATTTGTTGATATTAGCATACTTTGATTTGTCATGTACAATTGAAAACGTTTAGCTACTCAGTTGATACGATCAGTTATTGTACTGGAATTTATGTAACAAGACAATAGAATGTGGGGCTGGGCATTCATACTCGATCTATTGCTATTTATGATTTAAACATTAGTTGCGCGTATCCATAATACTTGTCGGTGGGCGCTGAAAACCTACAGCAAATATTTAAGACACTTTTACCTCGAATCCATCTTTATGGTTCACTTGTAGTGATTTTTTGTCATTATTTAATGTGATGAGCATAGTTTGACGATGCGGACTAATCCTGTATCCCGTTGGAAATGGACCTTGATACACGACCTCGTCACCATAAATCAAATGTTTAGCACCTAATACAAGACGAGCGGCTATATCTTGTTTATGTCTAGGGTGAATTCTGAAAACATACAAAGTTCATGTTTTAGTTGCATATATGTCATAATGATTAATTGTTTTTCATAACAATAAAATAAAAAAGTACAAGGAAAGGGTGTTTAATGCATTGAACATATTTTAAAGTTGATTTTTTATAGAATTTGCTATTACAGTTCTTTTTTATGAAATACATGAACAAACAATGTTAGAATTCTGTAATGATTATTATGCTAACGCTTAATATGAAGAAAAGATATATCAAGTAGCTTACGATCCCGATGGTGACCAGAAATCCGGAAGATCTATAGCCACAGCCATGAAAGTATTTGGCATATTTCGATTTGGCACGTAGCCAATATTTGTCGTCTGCGCCCATCTTATCTTCGGAAATCCTCCAATAGTGTTGCTTTTCCGGAACGGGGCTAACTACATTTATTTATATAAAAACATTGCATCAAAGGTTATTCTGTTTCGAAACTTTCAAACTCGAAACTGTATACTGTAAATAGAAAAGTATATTTACATGTGTTGCCTACAATTCGGGAGCTAAGTTGTCATTTTCACGAGTGATCTTGAATGGCAAATACATAAATCTGCGCAATAGAGATTTGATGCACACTTTTTTCGTTTATAAGCATTATTTTTACAAACAAGTTAATGTCTTATTTGGTAATTTCGCGTGTCGATATTTGTGTTTCGTATAAAAAACCGATTTCGTTGTATGATAGCGATGCAGTTGACGGTGATTTTTTGATACTGAAATAAGCGGGCGTCATTGCAGTCATCAATTATAAATTGCTGTTACGCATTTATAAGTACATATAACAATGGTGCGAGCTCGTGTGATTGTATTTTTAATGCACGTTTTCCACCGTCAATGTATATCAACAGCATGGGGCTTAGAATATAATGAAATAAATTGATCACTCTTTGTCGTTTAAGCTGCGTTATCGGTGAACATGTTGCTTTCTTATATTAATTATCTTATATCTTATCTTATCTTGCTTACGACATTGAAATGCGAACTGTAAAATATTAACAATTATATGTACATGTGTTTAGCATACGAAATATTAGACATAATGTCCGTGAGATCCGGAAAAGAATGTCAAGTGGCAAACATAATTTGAAATATCTGTACAAACTTCCATTAACGTATCATATATTTTCTAAAAAGATGCCCACTGTCACCAAACATACCTGTACAAAACCAAAGGGGAAATTTACACTTGTTTCACCATCAGATCTTTTGTTAAAATGTTTTCTCCAGTCGTTTATCATTGCACGGAACTGACAGGCATACACCCCAGCATTGTTTCGGTTTCCTTCGCCTGAAATAGTAAATGACGTCATAGTTTCATTACGTCATAATTTCCTATTTTCAATATTTGCATCGTAAAATAAATGATGGCATTTTATTATCATTTGTTTTTATCGTATATTTTAATTTTGGATATGTAGCAATATAATATAACATAAACATGTACAAATATATACATGTTGCGCATGTTCAGTAACCTGTCTAGCCAGCGTCTTGATGTGAAATATTTTAGAACAAAATACATCGTGTAGAATCTAGAGCTTACACGTGTTTTTAAAGTCTACTTGATCATATTATGCCTCCAAATTACTGAACAGGATCAAGCATGTCGATCTATTACAGTGTGGCAATACCACGTGACATTGACGTCATTTTCGGCATCATTTCCAAGACAAATGTTGCTCGATTCGGAAAAGAAAATAGCTGTAAATATTTTATTTCTGTACCAATTTCTTTGGGATATACAGCAGTTTACGGGGAAAAATATAAGCTTTCCACAGAATATTGGATCTTCGTCAGTTTATGAGCCGTTTTATCAAACACTTTGCATAACCTTGGATTTTGCTTCTATTACAGTGTGGCCATACCACGTGACATTGACGTCATTTTTGGCATCATTTCCAAGACAAATATTGCTCGATTCGGAAAAGAAAATAGCCGTAAATATTTTATTTCTGTATCAATATCTTTGGGATATGCACCAGTCTACGGGGGAAAATATAAGCTTTCCACAGAATATTGGATCTTCGTCAGTTTATAAGCCGTTTTATCAAACACTTTGCATAACCTTGGAATTCTGGAAACAAAGTGATCCCTCGGAAGCATTAATCACAACAAAATAACATAAGAATTGCAGACTTGCTTGTATTAGAGCGGGCTTCGGTTGCAAGCTGTTTCGTTTTCTGGCGTTATTTGGTCTACGCCATGATAAATAGGTCAGGTTTACATCAACCGGGGGTACAGACAGCAAAATCCTACCTTAATATGTTTATATGGTTATTATTTATGGCGTAAATCTTGCCATTTTCTTCAATTGTCAATTCTGGCACCAGTTCCAAGTCGAAAAAAAGGACTTCAGTTTAAAGCAGATTTATGAATCTGTTGCAAATGCGAAGCAACATGCCTACCGTTCTCTCTCTATAATTATGTTAACCATAAAAATATTTGTTATTTACTGTACGATTTACATAAACACAAATGAATATTTAAAAGTCGTAAAATTGTTGTCTGTATTTGTAAAGAAATTGATTTGCTCTTTAATCTTTGTTCTTTCACGGTAATGATTATGAAAAATCTATATGTGTCATGTAGCAATACTAAACGTATTCAAAATTGAGAGAAAACAGAAACCCAAAACGGCAAAATTGACTTAGCTAGAATGTCCAATGAACGTGCACATTCAGGATCACTTCCATTTTTATGCTGTAAAGCGTTTTGCCTCAACGCGGCAATTTCAAAGTCAAAGGGTATTCTTTTGTAAAGAGTTATTTATACGTATAACCATAATGTTATAAACCTGTAGCAATGTTTAAGTATAATAGATTCATCTTTTTAATACATTGGCACTCGTTGATAAAAAATATTTTACATCCTGTTTTCATACACACGGTAACCGTTTTTCGTGAACTGGATATAACTTCGTTCACTTAAGAACACTAAACACTATTTATTTTATTATTGCATTTACTTCTGATGATAAACTACATATCTGACAAATTTAGTTAATAATATCAGTCAATCGTTCCCTTCCTCTCTTTACAATGTATATTGGTGAGCTCTCTGATAAAGCTGAGTTGACTGATAAAATTAACTAAATTTGTCAGAACAGAAATAAATGCAATTATAAAATAGATAGTGTTTAATAGTGTGTTTAATAGTGTTCTTAAGTGAACGAAGTTATATCCAGTTCACGAAAAACGGTTACCGTGGGTATGAAAACAGGATGTAAAAATATTTTTTATCAACGAGTGCCACTGTGTTAAAAAGCTGAATCTATCATACTGAAACATTACTACAGGTTCTTTATATATATATGGTTATACGTATAAATAACTCTTTACAAAAGAATAACCTTTGACTTTAAAATTGACGCGTTGAGGCGTAACCCTTTTCACAGCATACAAATCGAAGTGATCCTGAATGTGCACGTTCATTGGACAGGCTAGCTAAGTCAATCCGAGCCTGCACAGTTCAATTTTGCCGTTTTGGGCGATATTTAGGGTTTCTGTTTTCAATTCCACGTTTAGTATTGCTACATGACACAAATAGATTTTTCATAATCATTACCGCGAAAGAACAATGATTAAAGAGCAAATCAATTTCTTTACAAATACAGACAACAATTTTACGACTTTTAAAATCATAGCGCAGCGAGTAAAAATCATTTAAATATTCATTTGTGTTTATGTAAATCGTATAGTAAATAAAATGTTTTTCATGGTTAACATAATTATAGAAAGAGAACGGTAGGCATGTTGCTTTGCATTTGCAACGGATTCTAAAATCTGCTATAAACTGTAGTCCTTTTTTCGACTTGGAACTGGTGCCAGAATTGACAATTGAAGAAAAATGTAAGATTTATATCATTCATAATAAAGATATGAACATATTTAGTTAGAGTTTTGCCTTCCGTACTCCCGGTTGATGTAAACCTGACTTTTTAATCATGACGTAGACCAGATAACGCCAGAAAACGAAATAGCTTGCAACTGAAGCCCGCTCTAATACAAGCAACTTCCAAGGTTATGCAAAGTGTTTGATAAAACGGCTTATACACTGACGAAGATCCAATATTCTGTTGAAAGCTTATATTTTTCCCCGTAGACTGCTGCATATCCCAAAGAAATTGGTACAGAAATAAAATATTTACGGCTATTTTCTTTTCCGAATCGAGCAACATTTGTCTTGGAAATGATGCCGAAAATGACGTCAATGTCACGTGGTATTGCCACACTGTATTATAAAGTACCGTGACAGCATGCAGGCTACAGAATGTTGCTGTTTGAACAACACGTGTTCACAATAATCATCAAACGTACATGTGTTATAGAGTTTATTTGTTAGTAAGTTTACTTGTTAGTATACCGACCTTGGTACCAAATAGCGCCTTTTATTGTCATTAACGTGTAGGGATAAATCATTGAATTCCACAATAGACTTTGTCGTCTCCAGCGTCTGTAAAATAGTATAGTCTGATTTTATTGACCTGTCAAATATGAATACATTATAGCACTCATTTAAATATTCGATCCCCTTCGGTTTTGTCCGTTTATTTTACGAGAATTAATATGGAGCATATGACTAACGTTTGGAAAACTCGCACTAGCTTAAAATAGGTTCTCGTAACATCCGCAATAGCACAGTCGGTAAAGTCGGTAAAGATACTACCTAATGTATGAGAGTTTCGAGGTTCGATCCCTTCTTTTTGACATTCTTTTTATGCTTATTCTTTCTTTATATTTAAGAATATTTTAATAAAAATTGTCAAGCGTACATGGATATGAAACAACTAAGAAACATTGAATGGTCATCACGTTTTGTATTGTATTTTACGGCACTGAAATGACATTTATTGATTTTAATCCGAAAGAAATTTGATTACTAATTCTTTAACAATCTTATATGCAGTATAGTATTTACCAAACAATCGCTAAAAAATAGTTATGAATGAGAAAGAAAATGTACATACGCTGTTTCGATCTTACAACACGTAGGAATTAGATATATTCCTGTAGTTTACCCTATTTCAGTATAAACAAGAGTACTTTAACCACATCTTACTGCGTAAATCTCACGGAATTTACCGAACATTTATCGAATATTAATATATTCTGTGCATTGACCGTATAATCAGAATGGAATTGACAGGTTAATAAAATCAAACAATACTGTTATAAAATACTTATAGACAGCATAATGTTGAGATAGTTATGTCCTTGAAATGTTTGATCAAGGGATCTTATTGTACTACGACTTGCGTAATTTGATTCTTTCTGGTGCCCCCAGTATCATAGTATATTAAATATATACACACATACAAATAGATTTAACATTTCCAACTTAATGTAAACATATTTTAGATGTCAATTTAAAAACATTTCAATATGTAAACACAACTTTGAATTTCTGTAGAACGAATGTAATTGAAAATTATACTTTTAATAAAATGATATCATGAACGTACGGGTGCTTAATTTTAGCTGGACACTTTTCTATAGCTGAATTCGAACTCCAAGCTTCAATTGGTGTTCCTCCCCAGCTTGAATCAATTAATCCTATTGGATAATCAATATGGTCTTGCAGGTCACGTGCAAACATGAAACAAAGTGCCGAGAAATCGTCAATTATACCTGGAAACAAAAGTTGTGATAATGACATTCAATCGAAAGCAAACAAATCGAATATTTAAACACTTCTTTGGGGAACTAATTTAGATATTTACTAATCGTACAACTGAAAACCGTTGTTATTAAATAATGAAACATTTTACCTTTAATTGGATATATCCACGGATGAAGAACCTCAACATCTTCTCTGGCTGAAGAACTGGGAACTTGTTTAGTTGTTAACATTCGTATATTTTTGTATTGTAATGAATGGGTGATTTCATATTCACTATTATTTACCTAAAAATAAAACATTAAATTTGTTTATATAAGTTTCACATTAGTTGTTTGAAAGTAGTTTAGTAAAATGTTTCTTATACATATCTATTGTGAAATAATGTTAGATAACGACTCAACAATGTTGCAATGAACGACAAAAGAAACAATTACCATACTCATTGAAAATTGCATGTTGCTTTGTCCTGAACATAACCAAACATCTCCAAATAACACGTCATAAAGATGGACATTGCCTTCACTTGAATTCACGAGAATTTCGTGCGGACCAGGATCGTTTTCTGCTGGAAGTTTGACTGTCCATATTCCAGTGGAATCTGAAATTTGAAAAAAACGCCATTTGAAAACATAAAGTGTTTTTTAATCAAAATATGAAAATAAGATCAACAATGGAGAGGTAAAACTTTCACAAAACTCAGCCTATAACCTTATGCTTCTAAGGGATCACTTTTCTTCTCTCAGAAATTCATAATATCCAAAACCAAAGGCTTCCGAAGGGAACAAAACACACAGGGTGAGACAAACTTTGGGAAAAGGGGGTCTTTAATTGACTATAAGGAAACCTTTGTTGATTATAAGAACTTAATGGGGAAAGGGATGTAGGAAAAGTAAGTAGGGGTAGAGGTCTAAAATGGAAAGAAGGAAATTCGTACTGGCGAGGTGAAATAATTATGAAAGTCAATACAAAACACATAAACAAGACATAAAGTAAGATTATATCAAAACTGTAATGGTATATGAAACTTGACATTGAATATCACCTTCTCTTGTTGACCTTTATTTTAATAATTATCATATAGATTTTCGGAATTAAAACCATCATTCGGAATTAACATACATTAGTCAGATCAGTTTTATTTTCATATCTACCAAACTAATAGGGCTATAACGTTCGGTGAATGACTCATTTGCTACGCGTATGTGTGGGTTGCCGTTGGATACGCGCTAGTCTGAAAATATGGTTATGTTACCGAACAAACATTTTTTCTGCTTAAGTGTTCGGTAATATATGCACCCGCTCTAAATCTTCAAGAATGATCTAGCTGTAAAACGCCAATACAGTTTGTTAAACTCACTAGCGTAAAATTCGTTTTTTTTTTCAACCGGGCGGAATTATTTCAAGGGTTCTAGGACTCTCTTTAGGTCATATTATATCAACACATATTAGATCTTTATCTTTTCCAACCCGATTATATAAAACAGATTTGAAAATTGCGCAACTCATATACAGAATATTCAGTACAAATATTTCATTATCTGGTAATATATCTACCATCCGATGTCTCATTGTAGACATTTGTTTCTGCTACAAGAAAGCCATCCATCCAGACAGAAACAACGTCATCGATGACGTCAGCATATCCCCATAATATAGCGCGTTCCGGGGCTCGTTGTAAAACCATATGATCGCTGTAAGAATTGGAAAACCGCAGAGAGCTTTGTACACCTATGTAAAACATAAAGAGAAAATCATATTAATTTTAGTGTAATCAGTAATAAGTATATTTATGACAGCGGTTGTAAAATAATTAACATTTTATGATATCGCCGCTTGAAAAACAGATATTAGCTCTAAAAGTGAAATATCTTATGTAATGCATTCTAACAACATGGAATTTTCAAGTAAATCTATTGCAGATGAGTTTTGTTCCGAATTGTGACCGGTTTTTAATATTGTAAGTAGAATCTAATTTAATTGTGAATATATGTACTATCAGGTATTAAGATATGAGACATTATACCAAACATTATCACAAACGTTAACGCACTATTCTAACACTCCACAAGATTTTGTCACTATAGACAAAGAAGAGGAAAAAAAGGTGTTAAACTGCCAATAAACACTGGTTAGGGACTACTTGTATATGCGGTTGTTATAATGACAACCAACAAAGCCTTGGCAACAAAATAGAATGGACCTTATGTCAATATAATGATGTCACTCTTTCTGAAATATATCAAGACTTAATATGAGATGACATATGATAATCTGTGTGCAATTAGGGCATCATCAGATTTTGGTACCGTTGTATTTTAAACAATTATCAAACAAAATCATGTGAATCAACTTTAAAGGCACATTATGCCTCAGAAACGAACGCGATTCATTCATAAAATGCAGGCGCCAATGACGTCATTTAAAGCACATGGGGTGTAAGACAGGGTTTTTAGCATCGGTGTAACTGTCTGATATGCAAGAAAAAATCACTATAACTGCACCGGCTGCCAAAAAGCAACAGAAGCAAAAGTCGGTTTAGGTAATTATCAATGGCTATCTTTTTTTGGAAACTACGAGTATAAAAGAACACCTAAAATAAAAAAAAATTAAAGAAATAGATATTAAAGCATTTTTGGGCATAAGGGGCGTTAAGAAAGCGAAAGCAAAACCAGCTAAAACGATTCACTATGCCAAGTATAAATCAATCATTCATGAGTTCATTTCGTTCAGCTAATTAAGTACTGAATGTAATAAAACCTGACAGGTGATATTGACATTTATACCATGTGGTCTAATTATACTTTATCTTTACATTATCATCAATACAATATACAACAACAACAACAACAAAACAACATCATCAAAATCTATATTTTCTTAACAATGTTGTGTAACTTTGCAATCGAGCGCAATTGGTTGATATATTAAGCATTTAAAACGTGCGAAATTATGTTTGCCCTTGAAAAAATAATGTCAATGAAGAGTATAGAAAATAATTCGGCACTGAAAACACTAAACTTTCCTCGAAAATGAATATGTTAAACATGATAAAATTCTGTCTGTCAAAACATATGACAAAAGTTCCATATATGAGTGTAAAATATACGTACGCAGTGAACTCACAACCACTTTAAAAGCCGAATATAGACTATTTTTAAACCGCATTTATCATTAAATGATGTATACAAATTTTATTAACTTACTTTTTTTCTTTTCATGCTTTCATGCGGCTTATTTACTTAATATATGAAATGTTAAGAATATATGGAAAAACTTACCAGAAATTAACAACGTTATAATTATAACGTTGTAATCCATTGTTTAAATGTTTAACTTTCCTCATCTGTATGCTCAAAATATATGAATACGTTTACACCGTTATGTTACGTTACGTTATGTAAAGTGATTAATTTGAATTCACGAAACACATTAACGTATTGAATCATACAACTAGTGTTAAGTGCATGGCGGTATAATAGTAATTTGTGATCCGTGACACGCATGAGATAATAGTCTGTCCTAAACAACATGATTGATTGTTGTTATATATATGACTAATATCATAACAAACAATTAAACATGCTCAGAAATATTGGAATATGTATTATAACTGCGATGGTATTTATGCTTTTATAATTGTTTTTATGTATGTATTGGAAGAAATGACAAAATAAAATGTTGATCTGGTATAACATTGATCTGGTATAACAATTATCTAGGATAACATTGATCTGGTATAACATTGATCTCGCGTAACATTGATCTGGTATAACATCGATCTCGTATAACATTGATCTGGTATAACATCGATCTCGTATAACATAGATCTGGTATAACACTGATCTGGTATAACATAGATCTGGTATAACATTGATCTGGTATAACATAGATCTGGTATAACATTGATCTGGTATAACATTGATCTGGTATAACATAGATCTGGTATAACATTGATCTGGTATAACATTGATCTGGTATAACATTGATCTCGCATAGCTTTGATCTGGTATAACATCGATCTCGTATAACATAGATCTGGTATAACATTGATCTGGTATAACATAGATCTGGTATAACATTGATCTGGTATAACATTGATCTGGTATAACATTGATCTTATATAAATTGATCTAGTATAACATTGATCTGATATAACATAACATTGAGCTGGTATAACATTGGAATGGCATGTCATTGATATAGTATAACACTGATCTGGTATAACATAGATCTGGTATAACATTTATCTGGTATAACATAGAGCTGGTATAACATTGATCTGGTATAACATTGATCTCGCATAGCTTTGATCTGGTATAACATCGATCTCGTATAACATAGATCTTGTATAACATTGATCTGGTATAACATAGATCTGGTATAATATAGATCTGGTATAACATTGATCTTGTATAACATTGATCTGGTATAGCATTGATCTTGTATAACATTGATATGATATAACTTTTCTGTATAACATTGATCTGATATAACATTGACCTTGTATAACATTGATCTGGTATAACATTGATTTGTTATAACAGAGTCAAACAATTCATGTCAATTCTTTAATGTACTTAAAGTAACAAAATTCTGTCAAAATGTAAAAAGAATGAAATATAGAGGTCATTGTAAATTGTTGAGAACAATACTGAATTCTATTAGACTCGTACACAGAAGCAAAACTTATATCAGACTCGGCTCGTCTCACAAAGGTTTTGACAGCTGTGTACGAGTCCAATAGAATTCATTATTATACTCAACAGTTTATAAAAGCCTATATATATTTCCATTAAAATGAAACGAAAGAAAAAAATGTTGAAAGCTTAATTGTTACAATAGAAGCTTATAAGGATCTTACTCCGACTGCTGGGACAGACCGTCATATCTAACTCAAGGGTAACTGTTTTTTTCGGCGGTAACGTCCGAGGCTCTGCCGAGTTTCCGCTAAACAGTTACCTGAGAGCTAGATATTCCGGTCTGTTACGACGTCCGGTTTTTGATTTATACTCTTGCATAATACATATTAATCATATTAATCATATTTCGGAAAGAAATTGCGAAAACTAGTATTTTCATTTAGCACCTTTTTTCTTGTAGAAACTTATGAATTTACATGTACAACTACATGCAAAACGGCAAAATGACGTCATTCTAAAAACGCTATTCATTCATAAAGCAAATAGGCCCGTGGGAATGACGTTTGTCTTACATGGCACCGGTGTAAACAGTAGATAATACTGTCTGATATGCAAGAAATACTTTTTCATAATCTATGTATATTTTTGATATTTCTCTCTGGAAAATAAATTACATGTATGTGCATGTTTAACAGTATTGGCCGTTGTAAATTATCATTGCATATAGAGCCGCGTCTTTATTTTCTAGGATCCTACATAAAAGTAAAGCAGATAAAATATTCTGAAGTATGTGCATTTTATCATTGGTACTTACTGTTTTGACTTCTGTCATACAATTAATCTAAGAAGCTGTATTTGGTTATCGAGCTTCGGTGCAGAATATCTTTATTCAAATTTATCACATACCTGTGCCTTTTTTACGACTCCGTATCAATGAACGCAGTAATTTACCCATCGTCAATTGCGTTAAACAAACATAGCGTAGAAATATGAATAAGGGGAGATTGCTGAAATGAAGCGAAAATAAAAAAAATGTAAAATTTACAGACTCGGAAAGGCGCAACATTTCTGACGCCCCCTAGTAAACCTAGCCAAATGTTAGACTAACTGTTAACCTTAACAGTATATAAGCGCGTCTTTGAACAGTAAAACAACTTTTTTACTGTACGCAGTTCGTCTGTTGGATAAAACTAATGTGATAAAGAGAGAAACTTATTCACTAAACCCTTAAAACTCTATGATCAAAACGTTATGTTCACCAGAGTTTCATATTTTAAAATTTTATTCTTTTATTCATATCGTTCAATAAATTCAGTATTGAACTTACATGTATTTGGTATAATTATATAACAGTGTCCCGCATTTTTAAGGAACCAAGTCTTCACCTAATTTCATGTGTGGTTTCTCAAAAAAGAAATATCACTTGTATTGTTTTGCAAAAAAATCCTAATAGATGAAAATATTAAGACAATTAATATAAACCTACCTACGTTTAATACACATTACTTTAAGAAAAAGAACGTTAACTTCCACAACAATTCTTGTTGTTCCCCTTGTGCAACATTTTCCCCAGTTGTAGCGTGTAACTGCTTACGCAGATACATGTATTGTAGCCGTTGAATCATTATAATACTTCAAGTTTGTAATGACGCATTTTTATGTTGGCTGCTTGGTACCATTTCCTGTTTTCGCCCCGTGACCCGCCATTTGAAAAGTAGAGAATTAACACGTTAAAATGGAGGGGACACGGATCGAAAACACGCTAATTAGCGGGGCCGAGGGGCGAAAATTCGAGATTTTAACTACTTAAACGGCGAGGGCGTGGAGCAAAAACACGTTTATTAGCGAAGCGCGGAGCGAAAAGTCGATCTTTTAACGAATAATTTGGCGGGGGCGCGAACAACAGCACGCTTATTAGCGTCCTATAACAATAATATATTTCGCTTCGCAGCCCTGTCGTATTACAATTCAATCTCAACTTTTTGCCCCGCGTCCCCACTAATAAGCGTGCTTTCGCCCTGCGCTTTTGCCATTTTAACTTGTTAATTACCTACTTTTCGATTGCTGGATCGCTGGGTAAAAACACGTATGGCACAAAGCAGTCAACATACTTTTTGGATAAGCGGGACAATTATATAAACTATATACACGGCAAATGTCAATTTGATCACTAGTTTCACTTTTTTCACAAATAAATGAAGTTGGCTGCATTATAAATTCGTTATTAAGACAATTTACAGGTTATATGACTGTATTAAAAAGTTTTTGCAGTATAACCCGAGCCTAAAGGCTTAGATTATATGTGCAAACAGGGACAAATAGTTTTAGTTATGAAGAGTTTTGACAAGTTATGTGACCCTATATAAATGGTTGTTTAGAAATATAACCAGAGCCGCTTGTTGAGTGTTATATTGCAAAAACCCGTTTATATACGGTCATATAACCTGTCAGGAATATTTTTAACGAATCTTTAATACAGTCAACTTCCTTTTCAAATTTTGTTATGTCGCCTTTCTTTAGATATCTTGAAGTTTTTTTATGTTTTGTATACACCGCACGGTATAGATGAGGTCACAGTGTGAGTTGATTTTTCCCCATTCCAGCGCATGATTAGTTAATAATGTTATTATCAAGAAAATAACTATCTGTACGTCTGTACAAAGGTTATTTATGAGCATACATTTTCACCAAAAGTAAGGATATGCTTGCGTTTATTATGCATAACATACAACAGTAATGCATATGCATGAATTTAATTCAGGTTGCTATGTTATTTTAATGTGTATTTATTCTTAATAATAATAATAATAATAATAATAAAAATAATAAACAACGAAACAATTAATTTCACTAATGCGCACTAAGTTAGGTTCAACAGCTCAAAATTTTACTTTATTTATCAAAAATGAAAACTCGACTAACACGATTCACTTAATATGTTCTTGCCTACTATCTTTTTGGTCAAGTTGAGCATATTCATACAGAAACATTAAAGGCCTGAAAAATCAAAACTTTATTGAAACCAAAAGATTGTAATAGAAACACAATAGACTATCCAAGTACAGTGAACTTGAGTTTACGCATAAGATCCTATATGTTGTATTTCTTGACTGATAGATAGATTGATAGATAGGTAGATCTTTATTCAGGTTTAAACACACATACATGTATACATAATACAAACACTTAAGCATTTTATATAAAACTGATGACACAATTGTAATAAAATATTTCGGAAGTTTGTCAAAACATAAAATATCACAGACGGTCATTAAATAAAAAATATAATAACTAAAAACAAAAATCTAATACTATTTCTTTCTATGACTAGATATCCAATTTCACTACTTTAAATAAAATGTGACGACGTAAGTGGAAACATGTATAGGTACTGTCAGATAACCTCGGATTGCCCATGAAACCCGAGGTTATTTCCAATGGGTCTTGGATATTAATAAAAAACCTTAGCTTATTAATATTAACTATAAAAAACAAAAAACAATTGAAACATATTTGAAAAAACAAAACTATCTATGGAAATGGAAAGATTTCATTTACGTAAAATATCAAATTTAAATATTTCCATTAACTTTGCTAAAAGGAAACAATAAAAGTTTGAGGATCAATATCTAGTCATACTGTTGGATTTTTAATTATGATTTCCTAACTGTTCTTAAATGGGCCCTTCATGAGTTTTAAAATCCCTTTCTTACTAATTTTTTTGATTATGTTTGGCAAGGAATTCCAATCATTAATTGCTTTTTGAAAAAAATTTACTTATCTTTCC